CACAATATATAAGTACAACTCAAATTGACTAGCCTTTCAGTATTAGCGTTAGTAATTTATTATGTACTAGCTTTTACCCGCGCCTTCGCTCGCGTCACAAAAGGATAAAAAGTAGCCTATGTGACAATTCACATATATATCTCAATCATCAAATATCAATCAATCATATATCAATTTTTTCCGGGATAGAAAGTACCCTATTAATTAATCCAGACTTCTAACTTTACGTCTGCAAAAATTCAAAGCAATCGGTTCAGTAGTTACGGCGTGAAAGCGGAACACACAAACAAACTCACTTTTCGATTTTATATTAGTAAGGATTTACACACGCAAAAGCAAAAATAATAATATACTCTAAGCTAATAACTATCGTGAGACATACTAAATTAACTAAAATCGGGGGTTACTCACGTGAATATACTGAGAAAAGCTCTACTAGTTTCTAACCACAGAGGGGTTCTTCTGTCACAGAGCTCACAGTGAGCTGCGTGACCGCGTACGCTACTCATGAGGAAGAACCCTTTTGTGGTTCGAAACTAGTAGAGCTTTTCTCAGTATATTCACGTGAGTAACCCGCGATTTTAGTTAACTCTAAGCTTATCTTATACTACTTATCTTATACTATTATATAAAGCGGAAGAGTTTGTTTATTTGTTTGTTTGTTTGAACGCGCTAATCTCCGTAACTACAAGTTTGATTTGAATAATTCTTTTTGTGTTGGATAGCGCGTTTATCGAGGATGGCTATAGGCTATAACACATTACGCTACGACCAATAGGAGATGAGCAGAGCGTGTGAAACCGCGCGGAAGTAGCTAGTATATAATATATGGTCAATATCTGCTTCAAAATTTGATTGCAAGATGCATATGTATTTCTTACACTTCAGTTTACAAACATACGTACATACATTACAAGTTAAATAAAAGCTTGTAAATTAGTAGACTACGCTCATTTATGTCCAGTCCTAATTCGTGTAACCACCATAAGACGTCCACTGATGAATAAAGGCCTCCCCCAAACATGTTAACATCTATAGAGATATTGGTATTCATCAAAAAGTAGAATGTTGGACCGTGAAATACAGATGCCCAATGGGTCAAAGATTTTTTTATGGGTAAGCCGGTAAACGAGCAGACGCATCACCTGATGGTAAGCAATGTCGTGGTGGCCCGGAGGTTTAAGACGCCTTCTCATGCATAAGAGCGAGTACCAATGTGACTTATTCCAAGTTATATGTACTTAACTTTCTAAGATTATTTAGACACCACTGACAAACGGTGAAGAAAATCATCGTGAGGAAACCTAAGCTTATAATTTTATAATTTATAAGCTTAAAATATCCAACACTTTTATTCTTTTTTAAGGGGTGAAAATCATCGAATGGCTGCTCCCGCCTGGGTGAGGTGGGAGGGAGTGTCAGACTCTTACTGACTAAAAACCACCCCGTTCCTTCTCCTGCACGTCGAGCCGTAGCCCCGGTTACCCGTTAGGTTCTCCGCGACAAAATATCCAACACTGGCGATTAACACTCAAACCTTCTCCGTGTGAGAAGAGGCTTTTGGTCAGCAGTGGCCCTTATAGGCTGTTGATGAATGAGTGAAAGATTTGTCTTTTTGGTAAACGAGCACACGGATCACCTGATGGTAAGCAATAGGCATCGCCTATTGACACCTAGAACACCAGACGCGTGACAAGTGCGTTATCAGCCTTTTAGGGATTAGGAATTCGTGGATTGTTAGGGATTGGGAAAGGGGGTAATTGGGCCTTCGGTTTATCAAATTGTTCCTGTAGAACTTGTAGTATTCTGAACCTATTCAGTGAAAACAAACAAACAATTTATTCCTTTTTATAATTTTAGTTTAGAATACTGCCTTAAAAACAGAATTATGTTAAATAATCCTCTTGTTCTTTTATATAAAGTTCAATTTTCGTTAACTAGCTTCTGTTTCTCACAGCAATGGTATCAAAATTCTTTGGCTACTTAGAGTGCAGCCTACCATATAATTAAAACAGAAACTCGGAGACATACGCAATATTTTTTATTCTTATGTGTTAGAACAGAAAGAACCAGTAGTTTAGTATGAAAAGGACACCAAGCAGGGCAGCTACGTTTCCTAAGCTGGAGTACATATCCGAACATAATTCAAAAGGTATTTCATTTTTAATTAGATTCGTATCTTAAGAGTAATGTAAAGTAATGGCTGCCTCGTTGGCCGAATGGTTGCAAGTGCTACTGACGGACAAGGGGTATCGGGTTCGATTCCCGCGTCGGGCAAAGTTTACTGGGTTTTTAAAAAATTCTCAGTGGTAGCACGGAGTATGGAATTGTGCCCGGTATATGGCAATAGGCTCACCCCCTATTACATGGGACTCATAACATAAATAGTGACAAGTGGGTGTTACATTGTACAGTGGCATAATGTGCACCTCTGCCTATCCCTTCGGGGATAAAAAGCGTGATGTTATGTTATGTCTTAAAAGTAATTTAAACTATTATGTAAAGCTGAAGAGCTTTTCTGTTTGTTTGTACGCGCTAATCTCCGAAACTAAGTGTGGGAGAGCCATGCTTCGGCACGAATGGGCCGGCTCGACCGAATATAACACGGCCTCAGAGAAGACCGCGACCGACGTGAAACAACGCTTGCATTGTGTTTCGTCGTGAGAGTGAGATTACCGGAGGCTCAATTACCCTCCCTCCCCTTTCCCTGAATCCCGAACAATCCTCAAATTCCTAATTACAAAAGGCCGGTAACGCACTTGTAACGCCTCTGGTGTTCCAGGTACCTATCCATGGGCGACGCCGCGCCGATTGCTTACCATCAGGTGATCCGTCTGCTCGTTTACCGGCTTACGCCATAAAAAAATCTGCTCTGATTTGAATAATTATTTTTGTGTGGGATAGTCCATTTATCGAGGAAGGTTATAGGCTAAAAAAACATCACGCTACGTCAATACAAGCCGAGCAGTGCGGGTGAAATCGCACTGAAGTAGCTAGTAAAAAATAATGGTTAACATAGGTAGGTACCTAGTCAAAAAATTACACAATGTTTTCATGGAAACTCAAATTAGTCACTATAATTGTGATACTTAGGTACATAAATATGGTATTTTCCAATTCACAATATTATCACAATATATTTATAGATATATCTACATTAGGTAGCCAGATACCTATACCGTCACAGTAATAATTACAGATTTTTAATTAATCTACTTACTTATTTTGTAATTTGATTTTTATGACACCTAGATACCGGCTATAATCGCTTAAACTGAATTGATAAAACTGTGACAGATAAGCTTACTGATTGCTTAAAACCTTATTGGTCATGATTTTTATTATATTTTAGTTTATTGTTTATGTTTTTAATTTGTTAAGTGTGTATCTAAATGCGATTTTTATAGGTACTTAGTTCCTACATTTCTACATCACTAAATGAGGTACCTTTTAGCTATTAAAAATGAGAACGAAATAATTCGGTTTCATATGGATGGCGAGGTTCGCTTTATAGGTATCTGGCTATCTCATCTTCGTGACCACTTCTGAACACATAGGATCTCTCGAAGCAATCGACACTACCTACCTAGCAGTGGTAAAGGAGTAACAATAATTTGCAGGTGGTATCTACCTACACGTAGGCATACTATTCTGCAAAAATAAAGTGCTGAAAAAATTGTTTTTTTCTATTACCCCCCCAGCCCCTACCCATGACTGTCACTATCCTTTTTTTAAGGGGGAAAATCATCAAATAACTGCTCCCGCCTGGGTGAGGCGGGAGCGGGAGGGAGTGTCAGACTCTTACTGACTAAAAACCACACCGTTTCTCCTCCTGCCCTTCAAACCGGAACCCGTTAAGTCCTCCACAGCTCCGTATCGGCGACTGTCGCTATCCTTTTTTCTGAACTTTTTTTTTTATTGGTAGCCGCTGAATAGAAATCTTATCCAATCGGCCCTTTTGGAATGAAAGGCTAAAGTGGACGTCTAGTGGCTGATAGGATAATAATGATGATCGGATTTTTTTGGTTCTAAAATTATCTTTCACCCATTTATGTTCTTAGCGAAAAGGGACTTTTTATAATTCAAATTCTATGCCCTAAAAAGGATGGAATCTGAAATCTCTTGATCAATAATTTCGACGACTCAATGTCGAGTCTCAAGCTTGGCTTCGGTATCTAGGCTTGAAAACATAATTTTGTGTCGATCGAGACTCGAGGACTAACATAACATCACGCCTTTTATCCCCGAAGGCAGTGCATATTATGCCACTATACAATGTAACACCCACTTTTCACTATTTATGCTATGAGTCCCATGTAATAGGGGGTGAGCCTATTGCCATATACCGGACACAATTCCAGGCTCCGTGCTACTACTGAGAATTTTTAAAAAACCCAGAAATACTTTGCCCGACCCGGGAATCGAACCCATGACCCCTTGCACTTGCGACCACTCGGCCAACGAGGCAGTCAGTTGCAGCCGTTGCTCGAGGCCTAATAATCTAGAACTGTATAGGTATAATCAGACCTGTTTATTTATTAAATAATTATGAGGAAAACTGTCCACTTAGGATGGTACGATACCAGATAATCATACGATATTGGTTTGTAAAAATAATCTACTGTCCTACCAGGGCCGTACTTGGTGCTATATTCGTTGGGGGCCCGTGTATTCTATAAATCAACTAGGCACACTTTGTGTAGGGCCCTATACTCTAAACTGTTTATAGTAATAAGAAATACACATTCAAGAAACTAAGTGGAATCAATTATCTGTATCGGTAGGCCCCAATTCTTCTAGCCTCTGGGTTTTAAGTCCGGCCCATTTACTGACAATCGTTAATTAACTTAGTATTAAACTGTCAAATACCAAGCGGTCACCGGTGACCGCAACTTATTGTTCTATAATTGTGTCTGCAAAACCGGTACTCGACGAGTTAATTATGTTTAATTTAAAAAAAATCAAAACACGTGGACAAATCAGGTAAAAGTACCCTTGATAGCATTATCGTAAGATTAGGATAAGCGCAAGTAGATATATAAAAAACTAATTGTCTTTAACAACAGTTATTTGTTGGACAGTTGTAACGCACAGGTGAGTACTACACAATACTACAATATTTTCATTTTAGTTGTTTATTTTGATTCCTTAAGTAGCGTCAGGTAAGGAAGAAAAAGCGTGTGAATGAAGAACGGCTAATGGCTGTACAAAGACTTAGAAAGGAAATGCTTGAAAATAATGTCTCAAGGGCCAAGGGACCTTGGTTACACGGTTAGCGCTGTAACTGGACAACCGGCTGCTGTGTCACGTGACGCGGGTTCGATTCCCGCACGAAACACTTCTTTGTTGTTCCTGGTCTGGGTGTATTGTGCATATCCCATGGATGGATCCCGTGGATGCGTTTACATGTGTGTAAACGCAAGCACAATAGGGGAAAGTCCTAGTTTGTAAAAGAGCAAATAAATACAAAGTTCATGGAGAAACCTTAAATGGGATCTAAATCGACCATTTTTATACTTTCCCAAACACTGATATCGATTAATGTCTTCGATAAGCAATCTGTTAATGAGCTTATGTTAAAATGCGTTGATATATCATACCTATATACTTAAATACCAAGGGTTATGTAATTGCTTTGCTCTGATACCTACCTAAAATATTTTCACGATCCTGCGTAAAATTTATCGCTAAATGGTGTCAACGAGCTAGACATCTTGGACTCGCTAACTATCGCAATCAATTAATCAAAAAACCCAGAGATAACATTTTTTGTTTCTAAAATTACTTAAGTGTGTAATTTGTTCAAACACTCACTAACCTAAAATCTTCACCGAACCTAGTTTTGATATGAATTCTAATCTTCGTTTATTATTTTCAGCAAATATGAAGTTTCTCATCGTACTAGCTCTCGCCTCCGTGGCTCTGGCCACTCCAGTAGTCAAGCCCGTGGTCATGCCCGAGGCTCCTCTGCCCGCCTTCGAAGAGCTGCCTTACGTACCCATGATCGAACCTGTGGACATCAAGCCCCTGTTCGTTCCCCAAGCTGTTATCGATGAAATTAACGCCCAGATCCCTGTTGCCGTCGATTTCGTGGATGTTGCTGAAGATGCGGTTGCTGCTGAAGAGGTTGTCGCCGCCGCCGAAGAAGAGATTGTCCCTTCCGCCGTCCTCTTTGTTGATGCTGCCGAGAATGTAGACAGCGAGGTCGCCGAGGTTGTTGCCGCCGCCGGAGAAGAGATTGCCCCTGTTGCCGTCAACTTTGTTGATGTTGCCGAGAATGTAGACAGTGAGGTCGCCGAAGTTGTTGCCGCCGCCGAAGAAGAGATTGTCCCTTCCGCCGTCCTCTTCGTTGATGCTGCTGAGAATGTAGACAGCGAGGTCGCTGAGGTTGTTGCCGCCGCCGAAGAAGAGATTGTCCCTTCCGCCGTCCTCTTCGTTGATGCTGCTGAGAATGTAGACAGCGAGGTCGCTGAGGTTGTTGCCGCCGCCGAAGAAGAGATTGCCCCTGTTGCCGTCAACTTTGTTGATGTTGCCGAGAATGTAGACAGCGAGGTCGCCGAGGTTGTTGCCGCCGCCGAAGAAGAGATTGTCCCTTCCGCCGTCCTCTTCGTTGATGCTGCCGAGAATGTAGACAGTGAGGTCGCCGAAGTTGTTGCCGCCGCTGAAGAAGAGATTGCCCCTGTTGCCGTCAACTTTGTTGATGTTGCCGAGAATGTAGACAGTGAGGTCGCCGAAGTTGTTGCCGCCGCTGAAGAAGAGATTGTCCCTTCCGCCGTCCTTTTCGTTGATGCTGCCGAGAATGTAGACAGCGAGGTCGCCGAAGTTGTTGCCGCCGCCGAAGAAGAGATTGTCCCTTCCGCCGTCCTCTTCGTTGATGCTGCCGAGAATGTAGACAGCGAGGTCGCCGAAGAGATAGTTCCCGTTGCCGTCAAATTCGTTGACGCCGCCGTCTTGTAATAGTCGACCTCGTCTACCTACCTACGCAATGACAACTCCTAACCGCGTTAAGTATTTTATTCGTTAATAAATTTTAATTTCAGTTACTATTTTAAGGCCATAAAGTAACTTTATTTTCTCACTGTACACAATCTCAAAAATATATATTTTTTTAAAATAACTGTGAATTTATACCTTATCACAAATCAAACAAAAGTAAATAAAAGTCCAACAAATAAACTGATAAATTAATATTTTACCTGATGGTTTCTTACTGTTTAACGCCTATGTCCTAAAATCAATACAGGTTTCAAATGTTCAAAGGTTTCTAACATAGCGATTATGAAAACTCGACAAATGTCTTTTAAGATTTTATTGCAAATCATTCTAACTTCATTCTCATTTAGGTAAAATTAGGAAAAACAGGCATCTACCTTATTTATTAATTTAGAAATTCCCAAATGCAGATACATAATGATAAACCTAATTTGTTTACAATTTTGCAAATCTAGACTAATACAAGGAAAGAAACTGATTTTACCACAAAAGTCTGATAAGATAAACCGATAATTAGGTAAGTAAGTACTTATTATAATCCATGTAACTAATTAGAATTAAATTAATCACTTGGAAAAACCTAAATGAGCCCACTTATTGCCAAAGGAAATATAACGATAGGAGTTGATTGATGGCATATAATTTATGACATATAATTTATATGAATTTGAGCTGGATTTATGTAAGGCGTGGTTTTTATGTAATCATATTACATATATTATTATGTTTTCGGCTTACACACGTAATTATTTCACGAGGACCTCGACTAGTTTCAAGCCGTACTAGAGGCTCATATTCATGAGCAGCATTTCGCGACCCGCGATGCCGCGAATGTAACGCTGCTACTGCTGCGCAGTGCATAATTACGTGAGTAAGCCAAAAACATAATAATATATTTAGTATGTCTCACGAAAAATATAATACAAATATAATCATATAACAGGCATTAACACCTGTTTGTAAAAAGGATATTTTGCTCAACCTCGTGGTGAGCTCGTGAGACTACCTGTTTTTTAAGTAAGTATATATCTATTATTACCAGATTTATTACATTAATTAAAATGAATAGAAAATGTGATCATTAGGCTGCCATCATTAATAGTATGTTATCAGTTTGACACAGACGTGTGTAGACAATATTAACTGCATGCAGTCGTGGCTTAAACTAATCGTGTAGTGATATATCTGTGGTGTCGTCACACAGTGTCCATCCAGTCCAGATTAACTACTTACGTAGCTTGCTCTTGCTACACATTTACTACAGGACCCAGTCCCGGGGCCCCGCAAATCCAATCATCTTCGCCTATGTAGTATATCTACTTTTTTGTGATAATCACAGAGGTTGGTGACCTGGGTGATAACGATCCAAAAGAACAGACATCTGGGGGCTTACTTTTGAATCCAATTTCGATCGATCGACATTGGTATGTATTGTGAAATTTCGTACTTTCGAGTTGCAACACTAGCGCCCATTGGACCCATATTGCTTGGATATTAATTGAACTAAATGATATTGAGTTTGGCTTTATATTCCGTACTCTGAATGCAATTTTAATAGCTACGATAGGGGTTGTATAGTTTTGACATTAAGTAGGTAAGCACCCTGGGTTAAACTTCAACGGAGATCCAGTTTGAGATCAAGGGCCCCTCAATAGAATTTGCTAGGGGCCCCGCACTTGGTTCATCCGCCACTGTGTCATGGTTAACATGCGTTAAATTGCACTGGACCTCTACTCTGGATGTCAACTGCGCCAATTAGGGTCCTCGCCCACGGCGACTTTTTGTAGCAATGCATAGGCGATGCTGTCGCGCGTCTGCATCGATACAATCGCGAAGTGCCGTGGGCGATGGTCCTTAAGGTCCGGCTGTAGCTAACTGCTTGCAGTTGAATACCTATAGATAGGTAGTTTATCCATCACGCGCGGTGGACGCAATGCTTGCAATGAAGTCCATCTGAGCTATCAGAAACCTGGGTTTAGTTATTATGTGTAGTTTAGTAGGCTAGGTTGCTAAACCTAGATTTGATGATTTGAATTGTAAGTAGGTAGGTTACCAACCTACTGTAATACCGGTTGGTACTGTAGGTATAAAAGAATGGTACTGGCTGGGTCGTTTCTTGGAAAATTATTGGTCATCTTACCTTAGTAATTAGGTACCTACTTATATTTTAATTAATCATCTATAAGCATAATGAACGATACCAATGTAGGCCTACGTATGATTAAACCATCGTGACTTGAATATTATTATTTTTTTATATCTAATCTTTGATTAAAAAATATTTCTCATGAAATTGCGTAGAAAACTGTAGTAACAATAACAATGACTGTATTCAGGAAAAAGATCACGAAAAACACTGAATAAAACAAACTTCATAATACAAAATATTACGTACCCTACTTACACACTGAATTTTAAGAACAGTAGGTACCATGTGTGTATAAAATTTTATGAGACTACTAAAAAAATTATCATGGGGCTGATTTAGGTCTTTTGTATTAAGTAGCAAATATTGACCTACGATTATCTTCATATAGGTAAGTAACCCCTTTCCCAAGAGAAGACGTGAAACTCTTACGTAGACGCGAGGAAACGAGAACTTCAAGGAAACGTCTTATATACCAAACTTAACTAGTGCCTATAATAATTGTGTGAGCAAACGCCTGAAAAGTCCTTGTTAGCAGCAAAAGGCGACTGCGCTGATTGATTCTTTCACTTTTATTCTTATCAGTAATTTTCCTAGTTTAACTCGTCGAGTACCGGTTTTGTAGACACAATTATAGAACAATAGGTTGCGGTCACCGGTGACCGCTTCCGTTTGACAGTTTAAAACAAAATACTGAATATAGAAAAACTAAATTACTTACTACAAAATTGATAGAATATGTCATAGCATAAATAGGTAGTGAAAAGTGGGTGTTACATTGTACAGTGGCATGCTGTAATGTGCACCTCTGCCTACCTGTTCGAGGATAAAAGATGTTATGTTATGATTTAATATGTCGGTACACATAATTGAGTTGGGCTCGCTGCCATTGCAGCGGTAAGTCACCTCTTTGAGGAGTGGCTTCAGAGATGCTACGGCGTCCTCACCTACCACCTGACGCAGGTCCTCACCTACCACCTGACGCAGGTGCTCACCGGACATGGGAGCTTCGGGAGGTACCTGTGTCTGATAGGGCGGGACCGCGGGAGGAAACGCCCAGGTGTCATAACTGCGAGTACCGCCCTGATGACACAGTGGAACACACGGTAGGGATGCCCCTACCGTGGTGGTGGTGGTGTGCTCAGGTGGTGCTCAGTCCACGCAGGGCATGCGCCCTGCGTGGACTGAGCACCACCGTGACCTCATGGATGTGATCGGCGACGGCGACCTCTCGCGTCCGGCCCTAGTCCGGGTCATGATGCGGAGCGAGAGAGACTGGGATGCCGTCTCCTCCTTTTGCTAAGCAGTCATGCTAGCTAAGGAGGCGAGGCGCGTGAGAGGCGGGAGAAGGCATTCGATGATTTTCCCCATTAAAAAAAAACATAATTGAGTACTATACTGAATTTTGTAAGAGATTGTGTGTAGCAATGCCACACTTTTTTGATAAATTAAACAGGGTCTGAATTGATTGAGTACAGTACAGTACAGTATTCATTCTTAGGTAGAGCATAGCACCCAGTGCTTGTCCCTATAAATATTGATTTCAATAAATGTTGTTAAAAAAATATACATCAAAACTTATAAAATGGGTCTAACACTTGAAATGACTGAATTACTGAAATACACACTTGTTTATTAAATACATAAAAGTATTTAAACCTCCTTGTGCGTTAAGCACAAAAAAAATAACTTAGCATTAATTTCATCCACATTTAATTTATTAACAATCTAATCTTATCTACTTATATTTACATAACACAATAAGCTATTTATTTCAGTATATAGTCCTCTGGGTAATCCATAACTTTGGGGTAACCCTTGGAGACTTCCTCAGGAATATGATCAAGTCGGGTTGGCACAAGGCGGTTTTGACGAATCTGACTGGTGACATTTTGCAAGACATCCTCAGGCACAGTCTCACCAGGGTATATAAGAAGGCGCTCCATCGTGTGACGTCTTTGGAGATTGCCTTTCATTGCTCTGTACACAGCTTTTTTGATAATCTGTAAAATATTATTAGGTAGCATGTAATTAAATAAATAGGTCTAGGTTACATTTGAATATACCACAAATAAAGTTATCAACATTTGTACTGGACTTATTTCATTTTTATTTAGTTTTACACCACAAACAATAACTTCCAAACTGGTACAGTATGTATGTTCTCTTCATTTTACATGAAAAGATATCAAAGTGACTAGATTTTAAATATTATATTTCCTATGAGAATTCTCATCAGTAACAATGTTTGTTACATTGAGCGCTTACCATTGTTGGATCTTTGTTATGTAGTTCCCAAGCTAATGTCCAAGAAGCTCCACCAGGGTACCCAGTATGGTGGAAATATGCTCTTTTACGCCACTCATCTCCTCTCAAAGCAATTTCTCGGCTATTGATACAGACCACTACATCTCCACAGTCATTCATAGGATGATAGATGGGTTTATGTAAACCCATCAAGTACTTCTTAATTACATTAGCCGATTCATAAGGATCTTGCCATTTGCAGTCAAATATGTGCCAAGTACGAGCGAAGGTGGCCCATTGCTGGAATAATATTGTTTTTGTTAAATTTTAGGTTATTTATTTTGATTGATTGATGCTGCAAAAGTACTCTCCATTATTAGATTATAGAGTAATATTGACTTAATTGATATTACCTGCACCCTTTTTGCAGCAGACATTGTGTTTTTAACTTATTTCTGTCACTAAATTAGATTTTTTTATATTCTTGTAATCAATTTTTTGAGGAGGTTATGTTTTAATGAATGTCAAAATTGACAATTTACAATTTGACAAACCGTGTTTTGACTTCTGTCAATTTTCAATACGTTCAGTAATAGAATACTCACGTTGTTTTGTTACCACAGAATACTATGTAGGTACTGTTTCTCACAATAATAAAGATTACCTATGCCACAAAACTCTACGTTCGATGGAAAGTTAAATCATGAATGAATAGTTGAGGTCAATCGAAATCGAGCTACTTTTTACTCGCTATCCGCACGATCAACGTCGACCCCTCTCATTATATCAGTGACGTCGACCGATGTCGATTGATTGGTAGGATAACAGTAACACAAGGCAATAGCAGTATTTTCTTTTCTCAAGAAGGTATCTAAGTTGAAACGTGGTTGAAACTAAGTACAACACCTACAATCTTTGCATACTTCTACAGCTTCTATCAAATTCGTTCTGGCCAGAGGCGGATTCAACGCTAGGCAACTACCTCATAGGTAGTCCTAATTTTATTGGCGCGCCTTCACTCTACGACCACGCACGCACGTCTCGACACGTCGTGACACCAAGTGACACCTATCTATAACCTAACGCCCTAGACACTTGCCAAAAAGTATAATAAGTAGACACTTGCCTAGTTTGCCTTAAGGAATATGCGGCTCTGGTTCTGGTCATATTTTAGCCTTTAATTTTTTTTTTTGCTTAAAAACTATTGTATTTAAGTATTGAGCTTTATGCACAATGTGTACAGAAGGTGGACTTAATGCCGCAGGCATTTTGTTATAAGAGTTCAGACTGAAAGAATCTAAACAACCATTACGAAAAATATGATTTGAGGAATCTTTGCTTAAAACTTTAATTTTTATAAAATAACAGGAACAAAAACAACCATAAACATCATAATATAATAATTTTATTGAAATCAATATTATGGCATAAAATTATAGTTACACTATCTTACATAATACAATATGTAAAAATATACTATTCAGTATTTTTCGTCTTCTCGTCAAGGTGGAGGTCCTTTCTGAGGGTGTAAGCAGACACGTGCATCATATACTTTTCGTTTTTGATGAAATTGTCGATGGCTCGTTCCCTGACGTCCTCCCAGGCATAGAGGTCTCGGTAAACTGGACGAACGTACTTCATGCGACCTTGGCTGTTCACGAACTGGAACACTTCCTGGAGTTTGGTGTCGTCTCGGCTTCTTATGCACAGTCTCAGCCATCTGGAAAGGACCATATTTCGTAAATTAAACTGTCAAACACCAAGCGGTCACCGGTGACCGCAACCTATTGTGTCTATAATGACGGTACTCGACGAGTTAATAAGCTAAAAATGCCTTTCCGGATTATAATTAATTTGTAAAACACATAAAATACCAACTATGATAGTATGCGATATCAATACATAATTTTTACAAAAACACTATATATCAAGATTGTTTGATTACATGTGGACAAGTATGGGGTTTATAAATAATTCAAAAGTAGACATAATCAGACAAAACTCACCTATACAAAATCTCAGTATTCTTGTTGCCATTAACTTTGTACTCCTTGCCGAGTGCGGTGAGTCTTTCGATAGGTAGCGCTGGTCTGTCAATGAGTTGCTGCAGCATGTGGATCATCTGGTGAGGAGTAAAGTTGGCCACGTCCTCGTATGAAAGGGAAGCGTTCGAGTCATCAATCTTGACGAGCAGCGCCGATATTGCTTTCGTCATTGTAGTGTCGTAGCTGTAACAATAAATAGCATTTTAATACTTAAATAGAATAAAAGAAATTGTCAAATCAAAGATGGAAGTCTAAAGGTAGTTTTTTCAAACAGAAAAATTACCAAAATTATGCAGATTATCTGTGAGATCAGTTAATTTTGTAATAAAATATTTCTACAGTTATTGAATGTTGTAAAGTAATTGCAATAACAATTATATGAAATAATAAGGAGTGGCAAGTTCTCGAACAACAGCTACAGTTGTTAGACTGTATAAGAGACTTTACTGTCATTCCTTTATGTACAAAACCTCTTTAGTAGATAACATAACAATATGTATTTTGTTCCAGAATAAGCAGAATTTTAGTTTGTTGAACATGATGTCATTGAAGCAATGAACAATGCCATGCCATGCCGAGTGTTGAGGTCTCGAGTTCTACTTGAGTATCTGATGAATTATCATTTAGTACTTTACATTATTTTGAACATTCTTAATAATAGCGTGGTGGGTCGATTAGTGATCGGTGCATGGCCGATGCAATAGTTGAGGTGAGGGAATGTGTTAGAGTCTATTGTTAGACAAACAAAGACGTCAAACAGTTACGCAAATAGGTAGGTAGCGTAAATATTATACTATTATACAAAGCCGAAGAGTTCGTGTTTTTGTTTTTTTTTTTTGAACGCGCTAATCTCCGTAACTACAAGTCTGATTTTAATCATTCTTTTTGTGTTGGATAGCGCATTTATCGAGGACGGCTATAGGCTATAAAACATCACGCTACGACCAATAGGAGCTGAGCAGAGCGTGTGAAACCGCGCGGAAGTAGCTAGTGTAATTATAAGTGAAATTAATTTTAGTTTTTACCCACACTGTGTCTTTTATTGTCGTTTTTATTTATTTTATTTATGCAGCATCGTGTCTGGTGCTAAATAAATGTTTTCTCTTTTTTCTAATTGTTAACATTAAGAAAAGTTAGAAAATCTCAATAATATTTTGCCCGACATGAATAGTTCCCGAATACGAGTTTTTATTCTTGTTTTTACAACAGACCGATATAAAGTTTACAATAAAAAGATAAACTTACTCAGGAATTATCGGCGGCATCCCACTCTTGTGTAGCCAGGAGTCCCAGTCCACTTGCTTGATGGCCTGGTTGTCCTTGAAGTACTCCAGCAGGAACGCCTTGAACTGGTCTGTGTCCAGGGACTTCTTTCTGAACTTCGTCAGGTAGGCACGGAGGAAGTCATCGAATACCGCTGTGGAGGACAATGGGAATGTTAGGATAGAAATGAAATGGTATTTCGTTACTGGAAGGAAGCACGGCCTGAATACATTGTATGGTTAACCACTTGACTACCAGTTTACGAAACACATTAGAAAATATATAATGTCTCGCGTGAATTCGCCTTCCGGACACATAGGGTTAAGTTGCTTTTTATCGAGTTCATAAAATAAAATGAAAATCGAGATACACGCCTATAATAACACCTTTAGTTATTACACTAATAAAACAATATTTCTAAACACAGACTCCTTTACCACGTCCCTTTATAACTTTAACTTAATACAAACTTACCAGGTCCACCGACAAGATTCTCCAAATACCTCAAAAACAGAGATCCTTTCTCATATGGAACCGTAGAAAACGCATCATCAGGGTGTACTCCGTTTAGGTCTACCACCAGCTTCGTCAGCGGGTTCGAAGAGCCAAGAACATCATTGATCTAGAACAGAAGGTACTTGAGAAGGAGAACTTACCAGGGCCTCCGGCTTGGTCTTCTAGATAGCGCAGAAAGAGAGATCCCTTCTCGTAAGGCACTCGCGAGAATGCGTCATCTGGGTGGATCCCATTTAGGTCAACCACGAGGTTCGTTAGAGGACTAGATGCCCCGAAGACACTCACCTGCAATTTCGGGGTCACCCGTCATTTTGTTGTTCGTATGAAGTAAGTGGCGAGGGTTATGTCTAAGCTACGTGCAAAACGTTTATAAGCGATGTAAGTGTTAAAGTGTAATCACGAGTAAGTAAAATATGGGATTTGGTTGTTAAATCAGTACAGAATATTAGTAAAACGTGTTTAGTTAGTAGAGATCCACCCAGAGAACAAAAGAATATAAATACTACAGATATACACTAAGGAGTATTCACGACCATTTTGTGTTTCATAAAGCTCATACTTTAGCTATGTGCTCAGCAGACATTTATTGTGTACAAATATGATCTAAAAACCGAAATTGCCAAGCGGACATGCATAATCATCCAAAAATGTTCAACTTACCGCTTCACTGAGCTCTTGTAAACCAAGCAAGCTCTGGAAGTCTCGGCTCCTCTTGGCCTCAACGGAGTCATTGATGAGTGAGGCCCCGACCTTCCTCTCCAGGAACACGGTGAAACCCTCATTCAACCAGAAATGCTCAAAGTTCCTGTTAGTGACCAAGTTGCCTGTCCAACTGTGCATTATCTCATGGACTATGACATCAGCTTGGCTCCTGTCGCCCGCCTAAAAAGAAACGATGTCAATATGTGGAAATATTTTAATACCCAAAGGGGTATTTATAGGTGAACGTCTACAATGTAACAAAGTTTTAACCGTTATGTATTCAATGTATTAGGTGTATCTATCTATTGCCATACACTGGAAACAATACCAGACTCCGTGCTGCTATTTGGAGTTCAGAGATATTCTGAGACCCTCGTTTGAATATTATAATACCAGAAGTTTACATAAAATAGTCACTCATGAAAAGAAATCTCATACTATCTACTAAAAAACTCCATTAATACTAAATTCGAATGTATCATAATTATAAACAGGGCCGAACTAGGCCTGTATAGGTGGGCCCCCGGATACCATAAGCCATCAGTTTTTTTTTTAATTAGCATCTTTGAATTAACCTCAAAACAATTTCATTGGGGGCTCACTGGCTATAATCAAACTCATCAATCCAGCGCTGATTATTAACCATTGAAATTGCAGTACAATCTACTATGCAACGGTCTTTTGTTCATTATTGATTGTTATCAGTGTATTAATCTAATAAATCAATCCTCTAATCGGAACATAAAATATTGATCATTGAATTTGTTATCAGAATTAATCATCTATGCTGATTAGGATTTATTGAGAATAGGACTACCTGTGTAAGGAGCGAGCAAACTGAGCGGTCAGACAATAGATTTGTCTGCAAAGAAAAGTTATTGTTTGCAAGATATAATTAACCTCTCAAGCGACGACGGAATTAAAGGAGATTAGTTAAAGTCGATATGTCGTTGGAAACTCTTATTTGCGTAACTACACGACTTCCATTGAAAGATCATAAATATGTATTATCTCTCTAAAAATACTATTTTCAGGGGTAGATTAGAACCTTGAGTGCCCTAAAGCTTATAAGCGCTCATAATTTTTTTGACGACGCCACCACTTTATCGGCAATTGGGCAAGCACGTCTCGTGGCACTCCTCAGTAGCCTCGCGCCCTAGGCACTTGCCTTGGGATAATACGGTTCTATGTATTTTTCATATATACATGTATTAACATCGACGTTTGAAATGTATAAAATGAACGACATCGGCCAGTAGATAACTATTCCTGAAATACCAGGAAATAAGTTTGTGAAAGTTGACGAGGACGCTACTGCCAGTCTTTTAGTACCTGGTCTTAAGTTTTAGACTTAAAACTGGTTTTCCCAGAAGTTCAGATATCGTTACTTCTAGCACAACGAACTTTAACCTAACCTAACAAAAATGTTGCACTTCAACAGTTAAGTTTTTCAAGACTTCAAAATATTCTTTTATAAACGACGTCTAAAAAAACTGACTTACAATCCCCTTTCATTTAATGTCAGTTAATTAACTCGTCGAGTACCGGTTTTGTAGACACAATTATAGAACAATAGGTTGCGGTTACCGGTGATCGCTTGGTGTTTGACAGTTTAATAAACTAAAATTGTTTCCTAACACACACTGTAACAAACACTTTTCTGAAAACTGCATCAAAATCGGTTTAGGCAATCGCGAGACAATCGCGCACAAACATACACACTACTTTTCTTGAAGTCAAAAACACAATAGACTTACCAAAAGCGTAGGCGTAACGAAGGTCAAGCAAGGGTTCTCCATGCCTCCATAGGGGAAGGAGGGAGGTAGCACTAAGAGGTCATACTCCGACCACTCATACGGTCCACACAGCTTCTCAGCCGCTTGGAGGTACTTCTCAGTCTCCGCGAACTCCCACGCACTGCGCTCAATCTCTTCTTTCTCTGACCACACTCGCGATCTGCAATTATTTATCAAATTAAGACCAAATAGATCGGCTGATTACCCGCACTGAAAAAAATACTTTATAAAACTGGACTCTAGTTGAAATAAAATAAATTAAATGTTTCTGATATGCAAAACACAATACCGTGCTTAATGTCTGAGATTCGTTACACACGAACCGATTTGTTGTGAACCAACTATACAAAACTATCTATACATCCATACAGATAAATAAAATTGGAGTGTCTGTTTGTAATATTAAAATAACCACTTTTTACTACATGCATATGACATGAATATACATACGATACTCATACCAAAATAACATTTCTCACAATTTTTGTCTGTCTGTTTATTTGTTTGTGCTATCTCTGGAAAGGCAAGACTTTTTGCCAGATAAGGAGTAACGGGTTACTTTTATTTTGGAAAATTGAAACAGAATAAGTTATGTTCTAAATTCATATTCTACGCGGACGTAATCGCGGGCAGCCGCTAGTACGTAATAGAGTAATAATACGAAGTGCCGTTATAAATAAATTCCTGTAAGTACAGATACAAGCAAAAAAAAACAATAAAACACACAGATTAAAAATAATTGAATCTCCCACAAACCTTGGTCCAAGCGTCCTGGATTCGAGTACTCCAACGGCAATAGCCACCAGGTACGAAGGCAGTGGCATGGGTTGCCTGAACGTAGTCCTGTTACTCCTGGCCTCTCCTCTCAACGCACTCATCAGCACTGTAAACTCCTCAGGAGCAGTGACTTCCGCATCGTAGGTAAACTTCACGGCAGGAGTATCTTGGCAGGGCAGGATGGATCTAGCGTGGATCGGCTAAAAAACACATTCAAAGTTGACAGAAATCAACCATCTCACAGACACTAATCATAATAAACGTCAATTAGAGCCCTAATCGATTGATAAGCTGTTCTTACCTGACATTGACTGAAGAGGTATGGGTGTTTCTTGCCAGACGTCTGTTCCGGTTCCAGCCATTGCAAGGCAGACGCTTGAGGGTCAGTAGAGTATGTTATTTTAACTTTTAGCCTGAAAGAAATAGGAATACATTTATAAGAGAAGAAAATTATTGCTTACAAACATATACAAGACTCAAGGCCATTGTGAGAGGTCAGTATGTTTACAAATATTGGCGAAATCACTGGCTAAAAGCTTTAAAAACAAAAGGGCAAGGAGGGCAAAGCATTTTGAAATTTCTAATTAAATGTAGACCAATACAATAAAGTAGTCTGGACATCAACAGATCTAACATAAATAAATCCTATACCACTTCTGATTTCTACTAAAGTTCTTCTACGAACTTTCAATACTACTACGTATGTAAACCTACGTATCCGAACTACAAAGGCAAGTAAGGTAAAGACTGGAGTTCTAGTTCCCATCAATAAAACATCCTTGTTCTTATCCTAACAATTTTTGATCATTGAAATTAGAAAAATGTTGGTCGCGACTAAACACCGACTTATGTCCTAACAGCACTGTCCTCCAATCTCCACCAATTCTAAGGCTAACCTATTTCCTCTTGGTTTAGGTTTCAGTATAGTAAAGAGGCTGTCGTCAGAACTGGAACTCAAACTAGAACTCGAGAACCCTTCACTGGAGGAGGTGGAGGTGCTGGGCTCACAGCTGTCACAACTCTCCTTGTGATGCATAGGCTGGCACGCCCCGTACACGTAACCGCTGCACACCTTAGGTGCGTCTCCACAAGGTGATGTTTGCTTATCGACTTTCTTGTTATTACTGTAGTCGTCGCCACATAGGTCGTGGACACATGATACCTCTTCGCTCATACTGGTGCTGGTGGAAGTATCATCATCTCTTTCGAGAAAAAATACTTAGGTTACTAAAGAGTTGCGTCTCAGTTATTTGTCCTATCAAAATATATATATTATGATATATCTTACTATTGACTTTAATTAGATGAGAAATAGATCTTAATAAATAGATGAGAGAACGTCTATTCCGATATTTACTTCAATTCAAACTATAGTTATTCTGTACTGACAAAACAATGAACATCTCAGATCTCAATGTTTTATACTCGCGATATCTAAAACACCTTCGCGTTTCGAACTTCCCAAGAAAAATAGGATAAAAAAATAAACGACCCTTATATTAACTCCAGTCCAAACCTCCTTGTATTCTACTCTAAGCATTGTTAGCATAAACTGACATTTAAAAAGGAAATATTTTCCAGAACACAGGTAACCTATACGTACAAATTATAAGGACACGTTGTCAGACTATGACCTCAGTTTCTAATGCTATTAGCCTACAAGCAAAGCAATAGACTACATGCACATTAAACACATATAACACTGAACGGTGTCATGGTTATTATTTCTATGAAATTATGTTATTGAATGAAAAAGAAATTGTCTATACAAAGTACACCAACTTATTTTTGTGCAGTTGGGATAATAATTAAATATGGTGTGTAGGTACTGCGTCCGCATGTAATATGTAGATCAACTTACTTTTCTCCAGCAGTATGCTGTTTTGGCAACAATATAGTGAGTTTGGACCCCATGTTGGGCACATGTTCTCCCAATTTGTACTGTAGTTGCGAGCCATCGTCCGCTTCGATAGATGATATTGAAAGGTTGCTGGCATCTAGTATCTGAAAATTGATTTATTCGTTTCATTTCCGACGAGTTAAAGCACAAAACACCGATATTATGGATCAACTTGAACCCTATTACATTAAGACTATCACTACATAGTATAAAACAAAGTCGCTATCCGTCGTCTGTCTGTCCCGATGTATGCTTAGATCTTTAAAAATTAGCAACGGATTTTGATGCGGGTTTTTTTAATAGATAGAGTTATTCTTAAGGAAGGTTTATTTGTATAATACATGCATACTGCACCCGCGCGAAGCCGGGGCTGGTCGCTAGTTTGGTATAATCAAGTATTACTGGCTAGAAGTGACTGGTGTGTTACCTGCCTAGAATAATTTTGGAGACCTATTGATCTGGCAAATAAATCGACATTTCTATATTATTTTACCCTTAAAAAACGATTCTTTATAATAAGTACGTAGCCTATCTGTTTCCCTCTCTATATTTTCGACATATGAATTTTATCAGGCATTGTTATAACAAAACTTTCCTTACGTGCTTATAGATAATGATGTACAGATATGACTTAGATAAGTTGCAGTACTTGCAGTATGTCATAACACAGATCTCTTATTTAAGAAATGATCGACGTATCAAGGCTTGAAAGTGGAATATCATCATTTTATTATCGACCATCTGTCACATCCCAAATACGAGAAACTGTAGGTATTTACTCGAAATATTGTGTAAGCAAGTTATTTATTCCGAGTGAACAGAGGATATCAAAAACCCAGTACAATATTATGTGTTTTTTCCTCCACAAAGGTTAACTACGTGTCCTCAATTTTATTAACCGCATACAACAGTTACCATAAAACGGAAAAAGAGATGAGACAGGTTCTGAATGTTAATGCAATATGGGCTTGTAGTGTATGCCTACGCCCACGTTTTAATTTAAATAAACAGTACTAAATAATATAAAGGTTCTAATTCTTGACCTTACGCTAGGAAAAGAAATAAAAAGGGTAATACAGGGTCGGACTCTCGTAGCAAAAAAACTCGGGGGGCCCCTAGTCGAGTCGAATTGGGCTCGCTGCCATCGCAGTGGTAAGTCCCCTCTTTGAGGAGTGGCTTGAGAGACGCTACGGCGTCCTCACGTACCGCCTGACGCAGGTCCTCACCGGACATGGGAGTTTCGGGAGGTACTTGTGTCTGATGGGGCGGAAGGAAACGTCTGGGTGTCATCACTGCGAGGACCGCCCTGAGGAATGCCCTGTAGCGGAACACACACTGTAGCGGAATTCCCTGCGTGGGCTGAGCACCGCCGTGTCCTCAGGGAAGTGATCGGCGATGGCGACCTCTCACGTCCGGGCCTAGTGCAGGCCATGATGCGGAGCGAGGGGGATTGGGATGCCGTCTCCTCCTTTTGCGAAGCAGTCATGCTAGCTAAGGAGGAGGCGGGACGCGTGAGGCAGCGAAGCGCTGCCTCCTCGCAACCCAGCCATCGCGAAGGACACACCGGGCGTCGGGGATCGCGAGACGATCTCCGGCCACCGTAAGCGCGGGCCTGCGGACGGCGAGCATGGGTGGCTCCCCGTCCGACCAGAAACAGACCCGAGCGTACGGCGCGTCGCGTTCCGCGCGCTCCTCAAAGAGCCATCAGACCACCACAGATGGGGCCCAATACGGCCGATGCCGATTCGGAGTCGCGGAGAACCTAACAACAAAAAAAAAAAGTCGAGTCGAATACTTTTCCCAAATCCGGCTTTGTAGGGGCCCATACAGGCTGGGCCCCGTTGGCAATGGCAACCCAGACTTTATGGCGAGTCCGACACTGCTGTGAAATATTTTATTTTTCAACTTACCAGACTGTTAATATCTTCCAAGATATCGAAGTCAATCTTAGCGTATCCCTGTAGAACGTGCTTCGCAAAGTCAACGTTCAAATTGAGCGATATATGTCTTATAATCGCTTGCTCTGTAACAAGAAAGTATGTTACATTATTATCAGCTAGTACAAGTATGTATCATTTTAACGTAAACATTTCCATATTATTTGAAGCGATCTTTCTATTTAGTTTTAAATATTGAAAAAAGAATACGCTTTTAGTGACCGACTTGAATTATTTACAAGACTTTTACTGTAGGTATTCTGTTGAAACTAGCAGTGGATATCTTTACTGCTATAAAACATACCTACATAAATACATAACTATACGTAGAACTATTAATTTACTAAACAAACTTTAATATTTAGAATTCTTGCATCCACGAGCTACAATCAGATTCACTGTTTCATACGAAACAGTACATAATAAAACAAAACATAAATGGACAAAGAAAGTGTTATCTCATAACTTATGACCCATAATATCAAGCATAACAATACTCTTATATCAATTTTCACCGCAAAAAAAAACATAAAACAATCATCTTCTGCACAATTATTTAAAAAATGCCTAATAAACTTACCAGGCCGCGAGAATGAAGACGGATCAAGAGGACTCAAGGCACCCATGGCTCTGATTTTACTAAAACATACAATAAGAACGAAACATGATAGTAATATTGATATTTTATAGGCCATTGTCAGGCACGTCCACACAGCACAGTGTTACAAACTCGATTGGTACACAGACTATACAGAGTGATCAATAGCCCCAGCGATAACTAGATTGAAAAGATTAGAAAGTTATTTAGGTAGGTAGGTATATAGAGTGGACGAAACCACGGCTGTATGGTTGCTTTTAGAATATTTTTGCAAGTTTAAACTGTTAAGGTTTTAACTACGGAGACATTATTATAATTGATAGTTCCCAGTAGGTAGTGTGTGTAATGTCATATGCCATGTAAGAATAAAGTACGAGATGAAATCAGATGAGAAGAGAAGAGCCTAAATTAATTAAAAAGGTCAAGCAAATGAGTTAAACATATTTTGTCAGTTTACGAGTCAATAAGGTTCTTTTTGGAATAACCAGAGCCGTATTATGCCTAACGCGAGCTAAGCCGCGAACTAACTAGTGCCTAGGGCGCCAGGGTGGAGAAGAGCGCCAGGGTGCAGAGGGGCGCCGTGAGACGCGAATACCCAACCATGATCCCCATAGATCGAGTGGCGGCGGCGCCAAAACAACTTAGGACCGCCTTGAGGTACTTGCCTAGGGCGCTACCTAGGTTTAATACACCTCTGGGAGCAAATAAAAGTTTTAATGGAAACCATAACAATCATTTTATTGATTTATTGAGGTGTTATCAATCTTTGAACAATACTTCATTTTAAAGAAACGATCATCCAGATCGAATCTAATATGCAAAATTATTCAATTCACTAGATGAATAACCGTTTAATATGTTATTAGCATGTTTTATTCAACGACTTGTGTAAATAACGGGTCCAACATATTAATTAACATAACTAGATTACAAAATCTTGTTATACATTGTTAGGGCAGTGGATGATCGATGCGGCTGCTGTGCAACGAGCCGCGAGTTCGATGCATAGAATTATTTATGTGATTTACAATCTGATATTCTAATCCCCAGGTCTGGTTGGTCCGTGGTTCTAAATGCACCCATTTTATCAAATATTTTTGGTATTGGGGGACAAAGAACAAATTGATAGTGTATAGGATGCCACTTTGTACAAAGAATATATTGGCAAGCAACATTAATTTCTATGTATATTGCTCATTGTTTCGTCCACTCGTCATGACTAAGGAGCTTCAAACACAAAGCTATGCCCTGCGAGGAATACACCAATATAACAAAGAAATAAACTGTTAAAAAATTGATAAGAATTATATAAATACGTACGAATTTTGACAATCTTTACCAACAGTAAAATATGTGTCGCAGCTCACACGGCTTTGTGCATCACACTCCCCATCAGACATTGTTTATCACATAAATAAATATATTTTACTACAAATTGTATTAAAGTTACAAGTTTTTTGTAAAGAACATTCTCAAATAAGATGTTACATTGACATTGTCAGTTCTCTTACTTCAAAGTGAAGTTCTATAGAAATTCTATTTATGGCCAGGTTATATTTGGCAGCAAAAAAGTTAAATTCTGCATAGAAACTTTTCAAAGAGTTTTGTAGACCACCAGCTTGACCACTAACATATTATTATTGTTTAGGATTACTAAAACACCATTATCAACCCACAGGTCCAATGAGCCACAAAACAAATAAAAAATTAGGGTGCATAAATGACATTGTAATAATTGATTGATTTTAAAATAACTACATTGAAAAATAGTACCATAGTTCCTTTTTTGGTCATTGTTTTAGTTAATTTTAAATTGTATATATTTATTTATTCATAACTATGTTATTTAAGTGTATTATTTGTAAATAAAACACGACTATGGTATTCTTCAATAAATAGTTTTAAACTAGCATTACAGCTTCACATTTTTTATTCCTTATTTATTTATCCTATATTTAATATTAAAATAATAAGTTTAGATATTGAGTGTAACACTCGCAGTTCACCATTTATGGCCTATGTAAATATGTCATACCTATTTGCATATATCACACAGTAAATGTGCTCTAGGAGTGTAGCAAATGGCATTCCATGGTCTCTGTCTACCCCCATGGGAGACAGGCGTGAATTTATGTATATTGGAAAATGGGATCTAAAAATTATCTAGGTATGTTAAAAAAATAGAAAAGAATGCATTGCTTATCTTGTTTAAATCCTGAGATTCTCCAGAGTATATTATAACGTCTATATCAAAAATTATTATCAGGCCCTTTATTCAAGAGCACTAGAGCATAAGTAAATTGAATTATGCACAAACTGCATGGAACTACACCTCCTTGCTTACACTGGCATAGAAGTCTATAACTTATGTAACTGGTAAACAAGCTATGTACTTGCCAAGTATATAAGTAAAAAGGTGCTGATACATTTCAAAACTTTTAGTAATTTATGACAGTCAAACTATAGTACAATACATATTCAAATGAAGAACTATTTTAATTTTCATTGAAAATCAGGGCAATTTATTGAACGTGTAGCACCCAAAGGATTTTTAGCTTTTATAAAACATTATTTACCTACGTACCTACTTCAAATTTTGTACAATTTATAAAAAAAATAATGAATGTAATAACTTTAATTCGTACTTTTATCCACCCAAACTCACTTTTATTCATAAAAATGTATAGTATTTGCTATTTACCTATACTCGTAACTAAAAGATAAGTAAAGTATTCGAACCGCAAACAATAAAACAAATAAAGGTTAGAACTCCATAAACAAGAAACTTTACCTTGTAAACTTTTGAAGACAATATTCTTATTATGCAGTAAATGCAGTAAACTATGTTTGCGTTTAGCGATATAATAAATTGAATTTTATAAAAACATTTATTAAACAACAACTTTATCAAGTACCTACAATAGGTACCTACTCACTCACCTACTTGACGCGGCACAATTTTTGTATTACCATTTACGTTTAGTTAGCAGCTTTGTTCGAGGTGAAAACAAAACAAAGCCATAATAAAACATTCTACCTACGTTATATTTTTCATTTACACATAAAGCTAGTAATATCGTACAATTTTCCTCATATAAGAATGAAAGTTAATATCGCTAAGATAATTTTAGAGTTAAGTAAACAAATTGACAAATTTAAAGATGCGAGTAAAATCTAAACGTCTTACCCAAAGAGTATAATAAGTATAGGGGAGTCTTACCGTTCCGCTGCTGCAATGTTTGTTGACATGTTGGGATAAAAATATTGGTTTGTATCAAACAGTTTTGACCTAAAAATGGTATCATAATAATGTCTAGGTTTTTGTAAAATGACTGAACATGTTCTTTGTCTAATATTTGATACATTATTTCGCAAATTCAATTGAAAAACCCGCGTGACCACTTTAGCGGAAAGTGACATTTTACTTTTTCTAATTTGTTTTTTTTTTAGATTTCAACCAGCTACAGATTCTTGCAAGCAAATGCGACATTGAGGTTGAGATAAAAGTAGATTGTTTAACTCACACATAATTGAAAATAAATAAATATTAAATTAAGTCTTCTTCTATAAATCTTTAGGATATTGTTTTGTAGTCGTAGCCAAGTTCTATTTCTATTTCATTATTGTAGTTACATGGCCCGCTAGGCAGGTAGAAAGTTTCAAAAGCATGATCCCTTGTCATATGTCATTTGTCATAATGAAATTGTCATTGTCAACAAATTCTACCTCTATGGAACAGCGACGAACGGACGTCTGGCTATTTGTTCGGTTTTTGTTTAATATTTACTGCTCTGATGTGCATTAGAAAAACTCAAATACTTATAAAACTGTTAATAAAATCGTAGTGATAAAATATATATACATTTTAAAGTCGCAAATGTGTTTGTAAATATGTTGTCGAGATTTCACCATTATCACGGGTCAAATATCATTTTATTTGAGGATAATACTGTTGCATATAGAAAAGCAAGCTTTGCCCATGGATTAACGTTTAGTGAAAAGCCCCTGCTGCCGGGGGAAATATTTTTGGTTGAAATTGAGAAAACAGAACGAGGCTGGAGTGGTCATATGCGTCTTGGTTTGACACTGCTTGATCCTCAGACGGCTGCGTTGGGTGATAAAGGTTTGCCTCAGTACGCACTACCCGACCTGGCTAACACTGGTATGTCATGGATATTTCCTATTTCAAAGTCTCAAAACAATGTACTTGTAGAACTTGTGACTCAATCGTCAAGTGGGCGGCGGGAGAATGAACCGCGTGTATCCGTGCTGGGTGAAGGTCACGTAGTGAAGACTCCTCGTGGATACGTGTCCAAAATGGCCCTTAGACCACAGACTCTTTCACACAATGGCACTCCACAAGGCATTTTACCTATGGATGCTGGTAGCCGCATTGGTGTGATGTTTGTCCCTTGTCCTAAAGTGAACAAGGATGAACCAGATCTAGCAGAGATGCACTTTATAATCAATGGTGAGGATCAGGGGCCATGCACTAAAGTTATTCCATACACAAGAGGGCCGTTACATGCCGTTGTTGATGTCTATGGGACTACCAAACAAGTAAAAATAGTTCAACTATATGGAGGTGAGTGAATCATTGCTATTATTATTGTATGCAACATGTTATCACAGTTGTGACTTAATATATTGCAAATATAATGTATACTTATTGTAGGTAAAGTTTAGGATTTGAATTATAATGTATACCAATTGTAGGTAAAGTTCAGGATTTGAATTATAATGTATACCTATTGTAGGTAAAGTTCAGGATTTGATGACAAATCATTTATACTTATTAAAATTTAATTTTGATCTTCTCATGAATAAATATTTGTTTGATAGAATAGAATTTGAAGATTTATTCTTTTTTAAACTTTGAACTATTAATTGTGCCTTTATTACTTACTTACTTACACACATATTTTATATTTCTTTCTTTCAGTGAAAACTCTGCAAAGCGTATGTAGAGATGCAATATTACAGTATGTAAACAATGGCTCGATAAAGGCTTTGCCATTGCCATCATGCTTAAAAGACTTTTTACTTTCATAGAGAGAGGCGTAAAGCAGAGTGTGAACTGTTTGACAATAAGGCTGTTCTATTCTTTTTCTAAAAACATTGTCTGGGTGATATCAATTATTATTATTATTTAAATATATATAAAAAAAAAAAGTGTAAATTTTCATCAAGTGGCAATAAAAAGATGAGAGAGCTTTTCATAAAGAACAACAAGAAAGAAGACAGTGAACAAAGTGTTATTTGAAGGTGTTTACAGTTAACCGGAAAGTTGTGCATAAAGGTAATGGTATGATTAGGTTCTAATGTACTTCTCCACTTCTCTATTAGCTTCCTTCTAGATCCATAGACAAGTAGTTAGATCCTTCATAGTGTAATGAGTTTATATAACTGATAGTTCCTGCTGTTTATATTCAATGTTGAATTCATGAACATGTAAATATAACTAATGGATGTTAATCTTGACACAAAAAGACTGAGGGCAGCGTTGCTGTCACTGGTTTTTACTTTTTAATGTTTATTATAAAAAATGATACACTGTTGAATTCGACTACCTCATTGGCCGAGTAGTCGCAAGCGCGACTGCTGGGCAAGGGGTCTCGGGTTCGATTCCCGGGTCGGGCAAAGTATTACTGGGTTTTCTAAAAAAATTGCAATAGTAACACGGAGTCTGGAAAAGTGCCCGGTATATAGCAATAGGCTCACTTACATGGGACTCATAACATAAATAGTGAAAAATGGGTGTTACATTGTACAGTGGCATTAAGTGCCGTAATGTGCGCCTCTGCCTACTCCTTCGGGGAAAAAAGGCGGTATGTTATGATGTTATGTTGAATTTTCAAACAACAATTAAAAAGTTGTCAAGATAGCTTTTGAACATTTTTCATTGATAGCTTCTGGCTTGAAAAGAAATATAGAATTATAAACAAAGTTGTTTAAGAATTCAGCTTTCAAATAGAGGAAAGTAATTGGAGTCCAGGAATGGTTTTTAAAGATTATTTTAAAATGGACATGAGACAGCACTATCTGATGATTCAATGATAGAGCGAGAAGGGATGATTTAACATGTTATAATAATTGAGTTGTATAATGAATGGCAATTTGTATTTTTGTTCAGCAGTTCAAAGTAATGGTGCTATTTATAAGTGTAAGACCATCTTTATTCCACATTTGTACCGGAGTGAGGATGGTGCTAACAAGTCATTATACCTACAGTCTCCATTTTAAATAATTGTCATCTAAGACATTTTTAAATATCAATCTTAGCTTTTATGAATTAATATTAGAACAATTAATTTAATGTAGAAGGGATTTATTAACTGAACCATGAAAGTTAACATTATATTTTATATCATTTTTTTTATAGAGATGGCAACTCAGTATTGTAGACAGCTTTCTATTTGTCTCCCAGAAAATATTTATTTTCTCATGAATGAAATTGAGGCCGGACACCATTCTAATTGGAAGATTAGGATTTGGAATTCTGATTTGTAGGATGGCAACTTTACAAGAGATAGAACTTACCATTATTAGGTGTTGCCATTACCATTACATATTTAATACCATCCTGTATGTATTTGCCCATTTAAATAAAAAAGGTTTACAGAAATACAGACAAAAGCTGCAAGAAATGTTATCTTACAAGATCATGTGTCTAGCTGAACCAAGATAAGGAGTAGCAACAATACTGTTGTCTCTTTTTTTCTAGTTACAGTGACAAAGATGGAACTATATGCACATATTCAACTTTTAATAAGTCTCTTCTATGTTTGATTATTGTTCCTATGAATGAACTATGTTGAATATTGAATGATAATTTCGCAATAATTCAATGAATGAATGATATTATGATCTTAGACTATTGTAGAAAGCTAGTACCAGTGATTTGTTACTAGTACAAATATAATTTGTATTCGTGTATACAATGAAGCAAGTCATAGTGTATTTAAATATATATTTTAGTCATATAACGAATTTTTATAATTATACTTTCTTTTTATATTCAATGTTGTGAATAGTTAAGGTGTTAACAGAAGTTGTAATATGTTTTTCTGTTAGTTAAATCTTAGTTTTAGTAATTTCTCTGCTTACTTACGAAGTTACAGATATGTTATAAGTTTTTGATAACTCTTTGAAAGCAATATACACAAATCACTGGTTAAAATATTTCGATCTGAAGTAGTTATTAATTAAGGAACCACTAAAGGCTATGTTTTGTTCAATACTCCACTATGAAATTAAGAAATAGAACACTGTTGCCTTTGCATACATTTTAAAAAAGAAATAGAAGCCTTTTATTTCAAAGGCAAAGACATTTATACAAAACAGATTTACAAACAAATATTATATTACTTATGCGTTTTTTAAATGATTTGTGAACATTATTATGGAAATAGCATTGTATAAAAGTATTTTATACCTAAATTTCCAACTTCTTAGTAATCCAGAATGTGACGTAATATTTGTTATTTTATTCGAGAGCTTAGCTTTAAAATAAGGTAACATTTTTATTACTAGAGTATGTATGGAAACATCAACAAACCGTGTATATTGTACTTATTTTGATCAAGCCAGTTCTATAGTTAAGTGGCGTTGGTAACAATGGCGTGATAATTCAAATTTGCCCTCCTAATTTAAGGGGCCCAACCCAGTATTGACTGGCCATAGCCAAGTCAATTCTGATATTCATACTGGCAATACCAATATTTATTTTGTAGTTTTTTTTGCAGTTTTCCCGCCAATGATAACGTCACTTGACTGTGTAGTTCCAAAATTAAAACCAAATCCACGACTCGTTTAACTACATGAATATTTTTACAAAACAATTGTACATTTTATACCTTTGTATGTTATTTTTTATTCTCATTCCATCCTCGTTTATTAGAATGTAAAGTTGTTCATGTTACGATAATTTCTTAATTGATGTTTAATATAAAAATGAAAATGGCTGTATATTATTTTTGCATTGCGGATTTGATGATAGGGTTGTTGTAGACGAGATTGTGAGGCTTATGTGCCAAATGGCAGATGTAGGGGGCGTTACTTTGTCACGTCAGTTTTTTTTTGTTATTGATAATGTGCATAGGAGTCTAAGGCATACAGCTAATGGCCTTAGCAACTTCAGTCTTTACGTGTTTTTTTTAAGGGAATAGGGATAAAGTGATGATATTGATGCGTCTTTTTTTACATAGTAAATTTTTTAGTTTTGAAAGCCTTTATAGGCCACATGCAATATCTAGGTACACGCAGTAAGACCTCAATTGATATTTTGTCTCTTTTCCCTTTTATGGTTTGAAACTGAATTTTGTACATACAATTGTTGAAATAATATTGAAATATGTAATGTACTTAGTTAGTATAATGTAGATAAATTAAATTGTCTTCTATCGTATCGTATTAGACTGAAATGGCAATTTCAACTTATTTCTAAGTGCACATAAAATCTGATATTTTTATCAGTTAGGCTATTCTGGAGTTAGGCTTTATTGTAGTCATTGGTTGTGAGAATAATCTCAACCAATGACGGGTAGGACTTCGTACGAGTTTGTTTTACGTTTACAGTAATAGTAACGAGTACGCGTTCGGCGCTGTGATTGGCCGGCTCCAATGAACAAACCAATCAGAGCACGGATCGCTGTCTCGTTTAAACTCATACTAAGTCCTAAGAGACCTTCGTACGAGTTTCTTTTACGTTTATGGTAATAGTAACGAGTACGCGTTCGGCGCTGTTATTGGCCGGCTCCAATGAACAAACTAATTCGAACACCGAACACCGTCTCGTTTTGATTATTTTAAACGTAAAATAAACTCGTACTAAGCCGATCAGAATACGATTCATCTCACTTTGAAAGTTGAATTGACAGGTACAGAATATCCTAGCTGTTTCAATTGAATTTTTGGCCAAAACTCCTTTTAGATTAGTACACCATGCATACATGATATAAATACGCCGTTAGTAAGCCCATAAGAGAGCTTGAAAGGTATGCTCACTCGAAAGAGTCCTGGCACATTCCAATAAGCTGGGATAGTCTTTATGTCGTGACTGTAAAGTCTATATTCGTGTAACTAGGTAATGGATAGTTCATATCGCAATCTCGTCTACAACGACCCTTAGTGAAAATGGTAGCTATAAAATTTTATTATTCAATAAAATATTTTTGCCTATCAGTTATGGATTTTCATTTGATTGAAACTTCACGATAATTTTTAATATTCTTTATTTAAAAAAAATACCATAAAGGAAAATGAGAACTTAAATTATGCTTCTTTAAAACTAAAGTGTTGCCATACGTTTAATATTAAAAAACGACTTATTTGTCTAAATCAGTTGGTAAAGGTAAAGTGTATGGTATAATTGTGTTATTTTGAGGGTCGAAATCTCTGAAATCCAGCAAATTATTCGGTTCTATGTGTTCAGACCAGTAATCTATGAACTTGGGGTTTAGGGTTCCTTTCCAGTGCTGAAAAGAGATAATTAATAACAAAATTAAACATTTAATTTTACTATCTTGTAGATGAGTATTAATTGCAGACAATAGTATTGTTTCGGATTCGGATGAATGCTTTAAGATTTTTCAAGATAAATCCTAATACACGTATTCATAATAAGATTTTTGACAATTGCCGCCGATTGCTGTTCCAGATAGTATATGTCTTCCTTGAAGCCAAAATACCCCAAAAGAACATCACAGACTGCGTAGCAGGAAGAATACAAAATGGAGTTCAAACAGTCTGCAGAATTTAAGTGTTATCTATACTAATATTATAAAGCTGAAGAGTTTGTTTATTTGTTTGTTTGTTTGAAAGCGCTAATCTCCGAAACTACTGGTCCGATTTGAAAAATTAAGTCTGTGTTGGATGGCCCATTTATCGAGGAAGGCTATAGGCTACAAAATATCACGCAACGAATAATAGGCGCCGAGCAGAGCGAGTGAAACCGCGCGGAAGTAGCTAGTTTTATTATGACTGCAGTCTTTTACAAGCATTACCTATTCTCATAACCAACTACCATCTTAAGTACGGGTTTCTTTTTCAAAGTTTTTAGCACGCAAGTAGAATCAGTACAGTGAGTGGCCAAACAAGCCGTAAAATTTATTTAAGTACCTACTGATTAGTTTACCACCTACACGTAAGACTATTAAGAAGATTTAAGTAGGTAAGCACCTAGTTACTTAGATAAGTAGGTAGCGGTATCTTTGAGTATAATTGAAATTGTAGGAGTTGGATTCCGTAGCTCAAACACTCGACCTTTGCAATGATCCAAATTGAATAAATTGCTCTAACCTAATTTGACAGAAATTTGCAAGAAGAACGACTGGCGGTAATTTTGATCTCTTTATTACGTGAATCATCATCGTTTCAGTGGCCTTTTGGCTTAAATATGTGCACAAACTACCACTCTCTTACTATCAACTTATCTATCTATACACTAAACGTTAATCATCTTTTTTGTACTTAGTATAAGCTCTAGGGACTGGCTCGTTGGCCGAGTGGTCGCAAGTGCGACTACTGCACAAGGGGTCTCGGGTTCAAATCCCGGGTCGGGCAAAGTATTACTGAGTTTTTTTAAATAAACTCAGTAGGTATTAGCACGGAGTCTGTAATTGTTCCCGGTATATGGTAACAGGCTCACCCCCTGCCCTCACCCCCTGCTCCCTATGACATGGGGCTCATAACAAAAGTAATGAAAAGTGGATGTTTAATGGTAAAGTGGCATGAAGTGCCGTAATGTGCACATCTGCGTACCCTTTCTCGGGGATAAAAGGCGTTATGTTTTGTTATTGATCAGCTCCAATCTTAGCTTGAAACTAGTTGAGCACGAGGGTACTCGCACACATTTTCAGCCCGTGATTATCCCACTGTACTGTAACTCTATCCCTTATTCTGCTAAGACTATTTTATTTACTTCTCGTATTTTGCGCATTCTTCCTCACCCTCGAAAGTGATAATACATATTTTCCACCGTTTTTATAACAGCCATGAGTCATGACAAACATTTAATGTGCAGACAATAATCTGTGCCCTAGATTCCAATACAATACCTAAGTCTTGAAATAATAGTGCTCAGGTTACCTAGTTACCTAATATTATGTTTAAACAATGTCTAAGTGCAATAACCTGCAAACAATTATGATAAAAACCAATGAGTATCTACTTAATTTAAATCTAGATTCTATAATTTCTTTAGCAGGTGCTATAAATATTACTACAGTGAAACCTCCATAACTGGAACTCATGCTGAGGTCCCAACACTTTGGCACTGAATTACCTCTGTTAGTGGGACGAGGTAAACCTCTATATCTGGGATTTGTTCTTTCGATTTATCACCATAGTTACCTCTATAACTGAGACAGCGAGTAAATTTTATATGCATAAACCTCTGTAACTGAGATAACATTGTTTGTTTACTCATTTTTATTCTACCCACAAATTCCACATGTAATTCCAAGTCTACCTCTATTAATAGAACCCTCTGTAAATGAGACAGATATTTATTTATACCTGTATATCTGAGACACTGGGTAAGTGGAATACCTCTATAAGTGAAACGACATTGCAGGTCCCTTGATGTCTCACTTAACCAGGTTTCACTGTATATATATTAGGTACTTACCTAATATTTTAAACGCACTTAGGGCTACCTATGTACTTAAGTTATTCATGTACTTTTAACTTTCGATTTCAATAATCGATCATAATACAAAATCTCTGGATCGATCTTAATTTTTGACAGAACTAATATAAAAAATCAATCTCTATCTTGAAAGTTTCCTGAGCGTACGGCTCAAAGAGCCATCAGTTGTCCACGGATGGGGCCCAATAGGGCTGATGCCGATACGTTGCGGAGGACTTAACGGGTTGCCGGGGTTCCGGCTCGAAGGGCAGGAGTAGAAACGGGGTGGTTTTTAGTCAGTAAAAGTATGACGGTTTGCCCCCTTAAAAAAATCTAAAAGTTTAGATTGAAATTGGTTATTGAAATCGGCAGTTAGAAGCAAACAAGCTGTAAATACAAGTTACTAATAGGTATCTACTGTGTTATGTTTTCAGATCGTTAAAATTAGTCGGATGTCTCACCAAATATGTCCCTTGTCTCCAAAGGCGAAGGTTACCAAATAAGTAAATAATGGTAGAAGATTCTGTGCAAAAATCTAACTCACATTGTGTGTGTGTTCCACCCAATAAATGAGGACAAGGTTGGAGTACTGCTTCGAGAGGTCCCGGGCCTTATTCAGGTAATTGTACGCTCTATGTTTCTTACCTCTTATATAGGCGTAGTATGCCGACATTAGGCAATATCTGGAAGATTTAAAACTGTGTTACTTCTTTGGTTTAGTTTTAGCTAAGAGGGCTCTGGCAGTCTAAAGCCCCAAGCTTAACAAACGACAACTCTAATTTAAATCAGTATTATTTAATTTTTTTATATCTTTTTAATATTATAAGACAAATCCGCCTGCCAAGTCCAGGTCATGATGGGGAGCGGGGGGACTGGGATGCAGTCTCCTCCTTTTGCGAAGCAGTCATGCTAGCTAAGGGGAAAGCGGGGCGTGTGAGGCCTCACAACCCAGCCATCGCGAAGGACACTCCGAGCGACGCGGATCGCGGGATAATCTCCGGCCATCTTAAGCGCGGGTTTGCGGACGCCGAGCATGTGTGGCTCGCCGCCCGACCAGAACCAGACCCGAGCGTACGGCGCGTCGCGTTCCGCGCGCGCCTCAAAGAACCATCAGACCACCACGGATGGGGACTAATAGGGCTGATGTCGATTCGAACCGCGGAGAACTTAACGGATTACCGGGGCTTTGGCTCAAAGTGCAGGAGTAGGAACGGGGTGGTTTTTAGTCAGTACGTCTGACACTCCCTCCGGCCTCACCCAGACGAGAGATGTCCTTCGTTAATTTCATCCCTCTTAAAAAAAAGTCCAACCCTAAGTCTTCGGATGCAAATCATGAGTGATTTTGGCATTTACTTTGTACCAATTACGGTTTAATATCAAAGGAAAGCTCTTACCTTGACCGATACATAGGCGATTTTGCACATGCTTTTTCCATGTCAAGAAACAAAGGTTTTAAGTATTTCTCCAACACCATAATCTTCTTTATGTTCCTGTTATCCATCTGTCGAAAACAGCGTCTTATTTATCAATACACTATACAATCACACGTACAGAAGTCTTTCATTACTGGTTATAAACCTATTAAGAATGATAAAGATTGAGACATTCTGCATGCTGCCGCTGATGAAACTATCAATCAATCCTCATTCATACCTTCGTAACTGTGTCCATTTCAATGTGCCAGACAAAACTCACCTCTCTCACCAATGTAATAAGGAGCCCCTCAACCAGTCTGATGATTATCATCATGTTGAACTCGTGTCTGTTCAGCTTCATAGATAGTAGCTGCTTGATCTTCTCTTCCCATAATATGGATCTTTCCCATGCACCTACTCTTATGGTTCTAAAAAACAAGTATAAAGTAGAAACCTATTATTTTTGGTCCTATCCTTTTTTTTAAAGGGGGAAAAGCCATCGAATTACTTCTCCCGCCTGGGTGAAGCGGGAGGGATTGTCAGACTCTTGCTTACTAAAAGCCACTCCGTATCTACTCCTGCGCTTCGAGCCCGAGCTCCGGTAACCTGTTAAGTCCGACCCGCATCGGCATCAGCCCTATTGGGCCCCATCTGTGGTGGTCTGATGGCTCTTTTGGGCCCTACTGATGCTCGCCTTCCGCAGGCCCTTGCTCCTATTCTAGGATCCTGTTCTTAAATCATAGTCTCATTGACGCCTTTATAGGCGTAAGATGCAACAATAGGTAATTATTCTTTACTCGGACTTACGAGAGAGAACACTTCCATAATACGACCTAGACTAACAAAGCATCAACTCTCGTTTTTATTGTATGACCTATGTTCAGAAATATGGCATCTAATTAATAATAACAAAGGTTAGTTTTCGCTTACACCAGCCACATGCTAACAAAAAAGTTCCAAGCGGCTTCTGGAGTCTTCGATCTTAGTAATGCATCCCCTTTCTTCATATAGAACTTCTCACAAGTTCCGTACGATTCCACGCAGTATCCAGTGTCAAGGAGGATCACTATTGCATAATAATAGTACCAGGTTTCAGCTGAAAATAAAAAATTTGAGAAATAATTGGCAGTTTTTTTGCAGTCACCAGACGGTGAGACATAAGATCCTGTGTTAACTCTTTTTTTTTTTGCTAAATGGTCTTGTCTTGACCCACTGTATTATCTCTATAAATCTATTCCCATGTGTCCTTCCTGGACTGTTGATTTCTAATTACAAATTAAAAACTAATGGTCAAATACTCAAACGCCACTTACCCAAACGCTCTCAAAAATAGTTCTGTCATTACAATACAAATTCTTTGAAAAATTACAACGATATTTGAGAACAAAACATAAAATGGTTAACGTTTCAGATTTTTTTCTACGGATTGTCCAATTATTGGGTTAGGTTTGCCCTTTTTCAACATTTCGAGACACTGCTAAGAGTCAACATTTCGAGACACTGGTAAGAGTCAACAAAAGAACTTTCTCTATACTTACAGCATAAATCATAGTGATCAGTCAAGTAGAAGAATTCCCTCATGATCGTGACCATATCATTTATCTTCAGGTCGCTTAGCAATAACTTTAGCATGCATAAGACCAGAGATTCACGCGTGTTCATCTCAGTCCGAGTGGTAAGCATGTGCATCACTGACAAACCGAATTCCAAGCTTTCTATCTTTTTTCCATGGTCAACGCTGCAATAGAGAGAGGTGGAATACTATTTGGGATCCTTAGACATGACCATTGGTAGTTCAAACCTTAAAATAAGCAGTGTGTTCCTTTTAAAAAGACTCAAAACGCAATTGTTTCTCTTCTATGTTGCGGGAGTCTGTGAACGGTGCTGATTGCTTACCATCAAATGATCTTCGTTCAGATCCATCAGGTGTGCTCGTTTACCTGCTATTCCATAAAAAACGTACCTAAGTACTTAGGTACTTATTGATTAATCACTTATTACATTTCTGAGAACAGCTGTTTCAATCGAGTATCAAGTATGTCATCCTAAAATGTCATTATGTATGATTTTATTACAGAACCAATTCTACCCATTATAATAAATGTAGAAAATAGTCACTTTTAAGAAGGTTTAAGAAGGTTGTACTAACTAGAAAAGAAATATGCTTGTGTATAAATAACTGAGTGCCGGAACTTCGGTCACATCCAACTGACCACGTTTGCGACGACAAATCTCCATTGCTCGGTTCTCCAGCTTTTCGCACATCGAGAACTATTTCAATAAAGAAAAAGCATTCATTAAGCCTACAAGGACCTTAAAATTCTATACCCAAACTTATTCTGCAACTCGAAATCTTGATTTATGACAAGTATTTGCAATGACGTCAACCGCTGCATAAACTGCATCGTGAAAGTAGATAGTCAACTTTTTGCTCATCGTTTTTAGCTGTACAAATAAATGACGACGTATTCCTTGAAGCATTACTCAGAATTCTACTGTTCTCGAATCAATACTTTATGCAAAGTTCCAATCGATCGCGATGTGACAAATGACTGTGACATTATTTGCATGAAACACGCTACGCAAAGTCCACGCCATAATTTTATAAGATGTCTTAAAGGAACCACAATATCGTTTACTGCACGCAAGCCACACTCATGTTTCTTGAGCAAACGTATTTATCATACATAGGTACTAAATAATTAGACATGGTTTTTGAACGATCAATGTTAGTCCGGTTAATATTGCTACCGGCAAATTCTTCTACACACAAATTAGCTATTATACCTACGCTTTATTTATTTATTTATGTAGTCTTTAATGTACACAATTTGATTTTGGCATATAAGGCGAACTTAATGCCATATGACGTTCTCTACCAGTCAACCTTAGGGTTTATTCTGTGGTACCTGTGATTTATAGGGCCAACCCCTTTCCCCCTCTAAAGTCTGGCAACTCACTTGCAATGCATCTCCTCTGGTGTTGCTGGTGCCTATATAGGTGGTGCTTACCTACTATCAAGCGATTCGTCAGGTCATAATAATATGACCCTTTATACAATAGAAAGATGATCTGTCTACCTTCTTCCGACAGAACCCACCTGTTGCCTTTGTCCATAATCTGCAATCATGTTCGCGTAACTGACACACAGCAGTCGAAAGTTGGAGTTTGTACGTAAAGCATAATGCAGGCACCATTTAGCTGCTAACGTTGCGTTCGCTGGCTCCTTGGCTTCCTAATGAACAGCAAAAATACAGCTTTTATAACTGTGAAGTATTCCTTTTTTGTTAACACTAATTTAAAAACAAAGTCAAAACAAAATATTGAAATATTAAAAAATGTCCGTCTATCGGTCAGTCTAGTGAAGGTATTTGCTCGTTCCAAAGTGAAGGTTCCTATGGAGAAGAACGAGCAAGAAACTTCATAGGTACATAACTCTTTTTCAATCAGGTTCACAAGAAAATTCTTGGTTACATTGTTTAGTTGGTTGGTTTAATTATGTGAGAACAATACTACTTGGGCTAACCACATTTTCGCAAGTAGCATAAACTTAACTATTACTTTACCAACTTTAAGCTCCTTATGATATTCTAACTAAATCAATGATTTAGTGGTATTTGTTAATGTTTATGGCAAGACCTAGAATTTACAATAATCTGCCAAACTACGCGTAGTTGCCTCTTATGATATACGGGAAGAGTGGAAGTATTCGGTAGTTAGACAGTGTCTTACCGTAAATAACCTGTACAGTCTATACAGAGTAAATGCAATATCTTCGTAAAAGTTGCCTATCATACCACTTTCCCTCTCAATGTAGAAGTTCGGCGCAATATAAAGTGCCATCACTTGATGAAAGGACGCTCCCATGTTATTTAGTCTTATCATGTGTCTGCAAGGAGTTTCTACTGTAAGCGTTGAACTTTAAGAATTAAAAATGAACGTTAATGTTCGTGTTCGAAAAGAAATATTGGAAACTCTTGTTGTTATCACAGTGCATCTACATAATGGTCTTAACCATACACTGTAGTTTGTTTTAACAATGATTAAACTAAAGTTCTGACCATCTGGACAATGGTTTTGCCATTTCTACATCAACGTAATATACCTACAGGACTATGCTAGTTCATTACTTACTTGGAAGTAGGAAAGGGATGCCTATACAATTTCATGGCATGAAACAATTGCTTCCGAGCCTCATTGTGGTCTCCAGACTCCAGCATACATATTCCTCGCAAGGAAAATATGTTTGCCATGCAAAAATCTCTGACCCATTTCTTATTCAGGTTCTTTGGGTAAAAGTCCTCTGTCTAGAAAGTAACATAAATATCGAGTCTTTAAGAAAAAGATAAGCGAAAATGTTAACCTACTTTAGGAAACAGAGAGCAAAGTTCCCTAAGATCAGAAAAAAGAATCCTCCAACCAGGCGAGGTGATCGTGCTTGACGGACTAGGGCCCAACAGTTTTGTGATGGGATTTTCTTTGCATCCTTATTCGTATGTAAACTTCACTTTTGTGATGTAGGAATTTGTGACGCCATCTGTTGATATGTCGTTGAATCTTCAATGTGGGTCGCCACCATAGATATAATAAAGAATTTCTGTGGGCGCCACACGACCATGGCTGACATTGTTTTGATCCTTGTAAGACATAATTACGATCTCTTCCCTTTAAATTTATTCTTTCAAATACTAATAAATTAAGTAAAACCTTAGCAACAATTTACAACATCCCAAAATTAACAAGATTAGCTGTTTACCTCAATAAAACTTTCGACTTCAAATAACAAACGAACCGCTTGTGGTATGTTAATGCTTATATTTATGCACAAATCTGCATACTCCAAGTATGCTTCGTATAGTTTCTGAAATTCACCTGTGAAAACTTTAAACTTAAGAAATCAGCCAGTTATAGAGCTCCTTTACATTTGTCCAGCGTAGGCTTTCGATAAACGCTAGTGTGAAGGAACTCATATGGGATTAAGAAAGAATTGATAACGAACCAGATTAGTAGATGAGCCCGGACCGAAAATTAGGTATGTATAATATAGAAACATGGACAATAAGGCTCTCTGTCTCTTCTACAGACATTAGAATAAAAATATTTTCGGTTTTGTCTTCGGACCCATTTTTTTTAGTACGAAACACGAAAATTCACCATTCTGTGTAATCGAATACAAACAATTCTTACGAGATCATTTTTTGTTGTTTCTTCTATGGTCTACGAACTTACTAGCTCCTCGGCAGTGGTCCAGAACTTGACTGTAAACGCACAGAAGTATGGACAGACATTCGCAGTTCTCTATCTCCATAGAAGAAAACGAACGAACGCGCTTGTTCTTCGAGTATATCTGATTTGACGGTCGCCTAGATTGACTTTCTGCAGAAAGATATTACAACGTAATGCTTCTACTTGTATATTTACCAAAATAAGTCAACAATGTTTATCTAGGTCTATCTAGGTTTTACCTTACTATTGTCACACATGCGAATCGGGACTATATTGCTTAAAATTTAAAGTCCATATAAAAATACTGTAACGAACACACAGCGCCATCTAGTATAGTTTATCCAAATCAACCACAACTACAAACGACTATTACGAAGATTGAGCACACATACAAATCACCAGCCTTTATCAGCGGAATTGTCTTCGAACAAATAATTAATCTACTAGCTAGAGAATCAGAGTTCAGTACCCTGTACCCACGCAGCATTCTCTGAACCTAAGTACGACTAATTCCAGTTCGATAGCCTAGCGGTCTTCTGGAATTAGCCAGCTAAGGAAGGTCTGAAAGGCGATAGCCACGCAGTCCCTTTCATCCCTCTACTTAGGGCTGCAACTATCTTGATTAGTTTATATATTGTTATAAATTGATGTAACAGTGAAGTTCCCAATAAATAAATAATTGATGATTATTCATCACCGGGGCTTTAATTTCACAACCAATAACCCTTTTTTTTATAATGCGATGTAAGTCCTCATGGACTTCCCACGCCGCGCGCCGTGGGGACAACGGGGGGGTGTGCCGGACTCTTACCGGCTAAAACCACCGCGGTGTTCCTCCTCTGCCTGCGGCCGTGACCCGGGACGCCTTTGCGGATTCACCGCACCCGGCAGGCCTCGACCTACCACTAAATTGTGGCAGGTCCCACCACGTAGCGGCCCTCAAAAGCTGCGATTTCCTTCCTCGAGTGGACAACCAATAACCCTACAATACTATTTTATTTTCTACAATAATAAATTGAAAAGTAAAAAGAATCTTTAACATTTTGTGTTGTGACATCTAACGTTAAATAATTCTTTTATAAACTACGTTTTAAAATACTGACTTTACCCCCCTCTTTAGTTGATTAAAACTTTGGCACGCATCAAAATCGGTTCAGCCAATCGTGAGATAATCTCACAAACATTCAAGCATACATCTGTATTTTCGACCTGTGTCAAATTGAGAACCTCCTTTTTTTTGAAGTTGAAGACTGCCTCGTTGGCCGAGTGGTCGCGAGTGCGACTACCGGGCAAGGGCCTCGGGTTCGATTCCCGGGTCGGGCAAAATATTACTGGGTTTTTAAAAAATTCTCAGTAGTAGCACGGAATCTGGAAACGTGTTCGGTATATGGCAATAGGCTCACCCCTATTACATGGGACTCATAAATAGTGAAAAGTGGGTGTTACTTCTGTGTGCACCTCTGCCTACCCCTTCGGGGATAAAAGGCGTGATGTTATGTTATGTTTTTTTGAAGTTAGTTAAAAATCTAAGAATATAAGTAAAATATTTATAAGTGAGTACCTAATACGCGGCTCATCCAATTGCCTTCGGTTTCCAAAAGCTCGTAATTGGTAAGATCTGCCGGCATGTTTACCTTTAAAATAAAACAAGAGATGAGGGCATTTCACTCAAAAGTCATTATTTTAATTTTCTCTGATATTCTTTGTGATATCGATATTAATAATCGAGTTGTAGATAGATCACGACCGACAACGGTTAGGTACGGTGAACTATTGGTAATTGGACATATGAAAGCCTATCACACAATTTTAACAGCACTGTTACGGAGCGGGTCACAAGTTAGTTTTTTGAAAAATAAAACTATTTAACTAATACGTTACATTTATTAGATTACATTTATTAAATAGGTACTGTAATCTATATTTTAGTTTTCAAATCAATATATTTTCGTTATTACATATTATATACAATTAATATTAACTATTAGTAAATGAAAATATGTACAACTTAAAATATAAATAACTATGAACTAAAATATTTACACCTTAAAAAAAAAGCTATAGTAAGGCATTAAAAAAATCATACATTATAAAAAAAAACAAAAAAAATAAAATAATAAAGACGATATTTTTATTACTATTTTTTTGTATAACTAACTTGTTTCTTTCTAACGAGTAATTCAACATCATGCAACAAAACTAAAAGAGATATATTGAATAACTGACACTTATTACAAGATACTATGCCTGACGGAAGTCCAATCCAATCTGCCCGAGAAACAATTATAATAGCTTACGAAAACTGCAACGGTTTCCTATTGCATTGACGTCAATGCGATTGAAAACTCAGCAGTTTTAATTTATATTTTAAGTAGTTATTCCTATATAACAGTACCTAATTTTACAACTCACTTTTATGAAGGTATACACACACCCCAGCGCATAAACTACATACTCCTAAGTACCTAGTCATAGGAGTATGGGCACAAAATAATATAATACGGTCCAATCAATGAATTGAACTTTGATGCTGATGGAATTAAAGTTCTTTTTATTTTTTCACTTTTGTAATGAACTTATTTGTAACTAGCTTTTACCCGCGGCTTCGCTCGCGTCACAAAAGGATAAAAAGTAGCCTATGTGACATACCAATACACACAGCCACAGCGCCATCTATACCAATACTTTTGTTTTCCCTCGGAAATGTCAATTTTTTCCGGGATAAAAAGTACCCTATTATTTAATCTGGACTTCGAACTTTACGTCTGCAAAAATTGAAAGTAATCGGTTTAGTAGTTACGGCGTGAAAGCAGAACAAACAAACAAACAAACTCACTTTCCGATTTATAATATTAGTAAGGATAAGGATTGTAATGGTTACCGGATAGTCCATGCTAGTGTCACCGACGTAGAAATTTGTGTTTTCTTCTCCAGGGATCTTAGCTTCTGCACTTAGCGCACTGATTTGGAGACGCGTTCGTTTTAATTCTTCTGTTTCGTAAATTAATCCCTAGAGAGGAATCCTTAGCTGTTATAATTTCTTTGATTTTATACTTAGTTTACCTGATCATCCGTTTTTATTTTTTATTAGGAACACTTTTACTATTGGGGCCTATTAAATGAAAGCCTTTATAGTGTATGGCCTTAGGACCTACTAAATAGAGCCATTAGACCACCATAGATGGGGCCTAATGGGGCTGATACGGAGCCGTGGAGGACTTAACGGGTTGCCGGGGCTCCGGCTCAAAGTACAGGAGTAGGAACGGGGTGGTTTCTAGTCAGTAAGAGTCGGACACTCTCGTTTCACCCGGGCGGGAGAAATCAATGGATGATTTTCTCCCCTCAAAAAAGGACTTACTAAATAGTCACGTATATCACATATTTTCTACCCTACTTTAAAATACTAAAAAATATTATACAAAAGCTTGTAAATCCGTTACGTACATCATCACAACGTAATCCGAGAAGCCTGGAGAAGCAACCAGCACCGCAGTTGGTGCATCTCCTTGTATATCGCTCCAAGTAGAGCAGAGCGCGGGCATGCATTTCATGCTGTTGTGGAAGTAAAGATAAATTTGAGAAGAAGCGGAGAGTATTTTATCCTATTTTATGTCTTCATCATCAACAGCTGACAATCCACAGCTGGACTTAAAGACTCTTCTACAAAAAGGATTTGCTAATATCTCCACGCCTGGCATACTGAAGATAGTATTTTAAAACATCAGGGTCATTAGAAAACGCTGCCCCATCGGTTTATAAAATATAGTCCCTTAGTCCGGTTATAACCACAGGACCTAGTTATTGTAAGAAGAGCATGCATTGTGACATATGTATTACACTCTGCTGTCAGTCGTCACCACACAGCTATTTTTAGGTAGCTTTTTAGGTATCAAAACTATAGTACTTAATTGAATCTAGTGCTTCAATTGGAAGAAAGTTTTCACCTTCTGTGTCTCAGTCAACATTTCATACGTAGTGGTTCTGAATAAGGAGTGACGGAACTTAATGTAGCCACAGAACGCGTACATGGGGAGATCACGGCAGTTTGCTGTAAATAATATATGACATGACATATGTGGTACATAGTGGCTGTAGCTAGGCAGATGGGAATGGCCTTTACTTTGATGAAAAAGGGTTTGTTTAAGTACCGAACAAAGAAAACAAAGGCAAATAGGTAAATATTGTGCCCGATCTATGTCTAGATAACTCTTATTGTCATAGATCAGGAACTTAATCTACATTTACTTCTCAATAGGTAGGTACTGTTTATGACAAAAAATAAAGAACGACTAACGAGGTTGCCGGGTCCCCAAACAGGCGCAATACGGGGGCTTGGGATCAGGGACCGATGGCGCTGGGTGTACCAGGACCAAGGAGGTATCGTGAGTGAAGTCCCCTCCCTCACACTCCAGTACTCGAATTATGAATAACTTTGCTATCGCTGTAGAATAAATTTAAGGTAAGTCAAGTTTAAGATATTCAAGTCTTTTTTGGGCTTCAAAGAAAATTACCTCTATAGTAGATGGCCGTCGACTCCGTATAAAATAAACTGATTATTTATTTACAACGCCCACCTTAGGCTAAATAAGAATTAATTCACCTTGGGCTACTTTTCTTGGAGAATCACATTGTAGTAGATTCAAAAGCATTCTTCTAGAGAAGACATCTCCGAGCACTGATCCACATTTTAACAACATCTTCTCAAATGGAGTCAAAGAGTCGTAGGTTTTCAATATAATTGCTAGAATAGAGAAAGTGTAAATTATTATTATTTGATTTACCTAGCTTCTTCAGCCTTCTTCTTCTTTTTAACTTAAGAGTTAAATACGGTTGATGGAATTGATGGTAAATTCTGCGGGCGACTGACTACGGGAGTTAGTCGTCTGTTGTATGAGCGGGAGTAGGCGTTAGCATTGTGTTTTACGCGCGCCACTCGAGGAAGAATATCAGCCTCCAAGGGCTGCTACGTAGCGGGACCTGCCGCAATATAGGGGTAGGTCGAGGCCTGCCGGGTGCGGTGAATCCGCAAGGACGAATTCTTTGTGTGTAGGTACTGCTAAGGAATGGATTTCTTTGCCAGAATGTGTATTTCCCAAAGGGTATATAACCTGGGTGTCTTTAAGGCGCGAGTGAATTTGCATATTATGGGACGACGTGTGCCATCGTAGACCGCATCATCGCTTACCACCAGGCGAGGTAGTGGTCAAATATCGACCCATCAAATATAAAAAAGGGTGTCTCGGGTCACGGCCATAAATAGAGGAGGACCACCGCTGTGGGTTTTGCCGGTAAGAGTCCGGCACACCCCGTCGTCCCCACTACGTGGGAAGTCCGTGAGGAATTCACATCACGTTACAAAAAAAGTTGATGGTAAATTAAATTACACTTTTGTGGCTTTGTATATTTTTTCACAAGTTATTCACCGTAAAAAGCATAAACTGTTTTCTGGCGGTATAAATTTTGATTGGTATTGGAATATTATTAAAATAAAATACATTACCATCCATAGCCATATCAACCTTCATGTCCTCGAAAGTGTAGGAGTCCGCGAGTATTGCCACTTGAATCGTATGGTCACCATCCTGGTCACCCAGTTGGTTATCCGTCTTACTCACCAAACTGACGCTCATGAAACTGTAGATACTCTGCAAAGTAGCGAATAATATAAATATAAAAAAATAATAAAATATTTTTATTCTTAAAACTTGTTACCCAGATGTAACAAGTTCTCTGTTTCCGATTGTATAATTTTCTGGAGTAAAAATCTTTATAAGGACCTGATAGCTGCGTCTTCGAGCCATTTCTTCTTCTTCCACGTCAACGACCTTCTGTAGTAGGGTCGAAGCAGGCATCACAAGCCCTGGCTTCTTTTGTGCTTCTTGACGAGTCATTGTTACTATAGTCAGAGCTCCTCTTTGCACTAAAGCTATCAAGAAGTTTTGTATCCAACCTGGAGACCCACCACTGGCACTTTCGATAACCCTGGAAATCATAATCGTATGGCCATATAAATAATACTTTTGTTCTCCCGCCTGGGAGGAGCGACACTAACCCTATTTGTGTATGTGGTGCACACAGAAAACAAGAGTAAATATTTACTTTTCTAAATCAGCAGGTATAGCTTGTACGTCTAGTAGCTGACATGCAAGTGCAGCGTGGTACGTGCGATCGATGCCTGCCAGAAGAACCTTCTTTATCATGTTATTTTCGAAGCAATTTTTTGCAAAATCTGAAAGAAAGAATGGACACTTTATTGCTATCAAATGAAATAAGACAGTTTTTTTTTTGAGGGTGGAAAATCATCCAATGACTTCTCCCGCCCGGGTCAGGGCGAGAGGGAGTGTCAGACTCTTACTGACTAAAAACCACCTCGTTCCTACTCCTGCACTTCAAGCCGGAGCCCCGGTAACCCGTTAGGTTCTCCGCGGGTCCGTATCGGCAACAGCCCTATTGGGCCCTCCTTGAGGCACGCGCGCTTGGTTCTGATCGGGCGGCGAGTTACCCGTGCTTACGGTGGCCGGAGATCGTCTCGCGGTCCCCGACGCCCGGAGTGTCTCTCGCGACAGCTGGGGCGTAAGGAGGTTCGTTCCCTAACATGCCCCGCCTCCTCCTTAGGCATGACTGTTTCGCAGAAGGAGGAGACTGCATCCCAGTCCCCCTCGCTCAGTATCATGGTCTGCACCAGAGCTGGAAGCGAGAGGTCGCCGTCGCCGATCACATCCCTGAGGACACGACGGTGCTCAGCCCACGCAGGACACACCGCCACCGTATGCTCCACCGCGTTCTCCGGGCGGTTTTTGCAGTGATGACACCCGGGCGTTTCCTCCCGCCCAATCCGAAACAGCAACCTACCGAAACTTCCGTGTCCGGTAAGCACCTGCGTCAGGTGGTAGGTGAGGACGCCGTAGCGTCTCTCAAGCCACTGAGAGGAGTGGCTGCTGAGAGACGCTGCAATGACAGCGAGCCCAGCCCTCGGTTGCGACAGTCAAATAAGACAGCTAGACGAAACAAGAGATCAAATGATATGTTTACCAAATACAAGTAGTACTGGCCTACCTGACATAGTTTCAACATCAGCGATGGAAAATACAAAGAACAGAATCTTAATTTCCAACAGCATCAGTATTAAACGCCAAGACTCGTTGTCAATGTGTTGTGCTTCTTCCACAGCTACAACGCACATTTGAATCAGGACCTTGAAAGTACATTATATTCAGAGGCCTTAGTACGAGTTTGTTTTACGATTAAAGTAATCGTGACGAGTACGCGTTCGGCGCTGTGATTGGTTGCTTCATTTGCGCCGGCCAATCAGAGTACCGAATGCGTACTCGTTTCGAATACTTTAAACGTAAATCAAACTCGTACTAAGGCCTCTGGTCATTTTCAGCGATTTCTACAGCTTTTATATCTCAAACTCACAGCACCTAGTTGCCAGGCTAATGTTGATGAGATAAGTAGTTGCAAAAATTTAACTGATAAAACCAATTTAGCTTGTAAAGTAGTGTGTCACGGTCGTAGTAAGAGTCACTACAGACTACTCTTATATCTCGATAATGTATAGCGTCCGCAGCTTCGCCAGCGTGTTCAAAGCCATAATAGGTAAGTTATGCATCTTAAGTTTATCACATTCATACAGATAGACGCAAAAAGGAATATTTTAATAATAGGTACAGATTCTACAAGCATTGTCCATTTTGTTCTGTTCGCCTACCTTTTTGCAAATATCCTGAATGATGATCTTAACAGAAAATTCGGATAGGATATCGCCATAGTATCTGAAGTTTTCTGGCAATGGGAACTGACATTCAAATACAGTGTTGATACCGTAAACTTGAAGTGGAGTCGTTTGCTCCATTAAGATACTGAAAATAATAGAAATAATTGAAAAAAAAGTTTGATAAATTTCTGGAATTTGGATTAATTTTGTTTTTAACCATAGTACAGCTGAAAAAATCAATGAATCATTATTGTAAACCTAATTTGTATTTGCATCTTAATTCTTGTCCGCGCAATGTATGTAAAATGTTAAGGGTACAATTTAATTCTAACATTCCAAGTATCAGACGCGTTCTATCAACCTAGATATAAGATGTTATCTCAAGTGCAAAAATTACACATCCGGGAGAACCAGACTATCCAAAGCTATTCTTTGACCTATTTAGTGTGTAAGTAAAAAAAGGCTAGTTCTCATCATCACCAGCCGGAAGACGTCCACTGCTGGACAAAGGCCTCCCCCCTAGTCCTCCACGTCGAACGACAACTCGCCACCCGCATCCACTTGCTCCCCGCAAGGTCATCATCCACTGGCTAGTTCTATGAAAGGTTATTTTTCGTCTTGGTGAACTGGCTGTTTTATTTGTCCTTTTACTTATGGTATGGCAGAACATAGATATATGCGAGGCACAATTTGTTTTATATTGTGTCTCACATAACTATAAATAAGAGGTTAAGCCTCCATCATTTTATTTGGTAGGTATTTTTTTAAGGGGTAAAATCATCGGATGGCTGCTCCCGCCTGGGTGAGGCGGGAGGCAGTGTCATACTCTTACTGCCTAAAAACCACCCCGTTCCTTCTCCTGCACATCGAGCCGTAGCCCGGTAATCATCTGGTAGGTATAGCCTCACAATTTACACTGCTACTTTTCCCGCGAGCCTCGTAAAAGCACCAGCAACGCTCGTGATAAACTTGAACCTAATCAATCAAACTGCGATCTGTAATATCGGCCTAACAAGCGTTAAGTTTATAGCAGACCATTCCCACTTCGTCTGTAGCCATTGCCAAGATTTTCATGCATCAGTGATACTTTGACCAATTTGAAGCTATATGTTAGATGTAAGAAAATATGTCCTAACGGGACTGACATGTTCTTGAACGAAAAGTCCCTTAAACCATAGATAATATACCTATAAAAAAAAAGAAAATAGCAGACCATCTTATGGTATATAGATGAGGCCTACAGCGTTATGTTTCTTATTCTAAAAATCCAATTGAGCTTTAGGAAGCATTATATTTTTTTCTTAATCAACACTTACGCCTGTCTTATTCTGTTCTCTTTATTTTCTTGCGAATTTCTACGGCTTCCCTTCCTAAAGTGTTTCTCGATGATGCTTCGGAACAAATGGTAAGGTACCTAGAAAAATTAAATCCCCATCACGCTTGTTCTACGAATAAGAGGTATAATAGTCAGCAAAATGAATCCTCTCAGGTAACGCACTTCTATCTCCTCTAGCAGCGCGGGTGTTAATGGCTCACCATAAGAAAAATCTTTCGGAATTGTAAGAACAATCAGTTAAAAAAAAATCATTTTTATGTCAATTTCACTCACATTATCATTGCAACATAGAACTATTTTCTCCTTCTGCAAAAAGTCTGGAGTGACAAAGAGGCATTCGTCTATCATACGTGTCTTCCCGATTAGTGATTCTCCAGTAAAGGCTATACCATACACATGGTCACGGTATCTTGTGAAGCTCCTGTTCTGCTGCTCCATGGCATTCTGGAGAGTGCTCTTGAAGATTCGCATTTCATCGTTACGCCCTAAGATCGGGTGACGACTGCATGGCGGTCGTTCTGGCCATCTGTTTCGAATGAAATGTGAGATAGACAAGATCAAGCTTTAACTAATAAATTTTAATAATCTAAATAAAATACAACACGCTATAGTGTTTTCAGTTGTCATCATTCATGGGTATAATTGGCCAAAGTCTAATCCTTATTATGTTGTCCTGCATATTTCTAAAGACTTTAAATAAAAAGCCATGGATCGTTTAAATCAATTTTTTTAACTAACCCAGAATAATTAAATTCATACACCGGTCCTGGTTTAGCGATACCTTTCAAAGGTTTGGACTCGAGTTGCTTGAAATACTCCTGTTCAATTTTACTTCGGAGGAAGGTCTCCTTGTCACACGTCACTTTATCTTGGTAGCACATCATTAGTCTTGCCGCCTGGAAAGATAAGAACAGCAACTTTCTTTTAATTTAGTTTCGGTAAATAATTAAGTTCGCAGGGAGCTGCTGGATGCAGGTCGCTTCCAACCGGCCTATCTGGAGGTCATTGCAGGAGGTCTATGATGTTCAGCAGTGGACGTCCTATGGCTGATATGATCTGGCCACCGTAAGCGCGGGCCTGCGGACGGCGAGCATGGGTGGCTCCCCGTCCGACCAGAACCAGACCCGAGCGTACGGCGCGTCGCGTTCCGCGCGCGCCTCAAAGAGCCATCAGACCACCACAGATGGGGCCCAATAGGGCCGATGCCGATTCGGAGTCGCGGAGAACCTAACGGGTAACCGGGGCTCCGGCTCGACGTGAAGCAACCAATCACAGCGCCGAACGTACTCGTTCCGATTACTTTTAAACGTAAAACAAACTCGTAGGCCTCTGATGGTAAACACATAGAAAAAACGTTTTTTGTTGTTACCAACTTTACTGTTAGACTGTTACCATACCATGTTCGAGTGTCAATGTGGCTATGTAAGTACGTACGTATATATGTACGTACGTACGTATGTCAAAGAGATATCTTATCAAAATCTATATTGACATACATAACGCCTTTTATCCCCGAAGAGGTAGGCAGAGGTGCACATTACGGCACTAGTACTGAAACACTCACTTTTCACTAATTATGTTATTAATCCCATGTAATAGGGGGTGAGCCTTTTGCCATATACCGGGCCACATTTCTAGACTCCGGGCTGAGAATTCTTTTTAAACACCCAATAATACTTTGCCCGACCCGGGAATTGAACCCAAGACCCCATGCCCGGAAGTCGCACTTGCAACCACTCGGTCAACGAGGCAGTCTATGTGGATTATAACAAAAACTAATATTCAGACGACTTTGATCCTCACTAGTATAATTCTTTAAGTACCTTATTAACCGCGGGGCCGATGACAGTGTATTCTCTTCGCAAAATATGACCAACTACTCCACAATAAGTTGTGCCTGTTAAAAATACAATTCAGTTTTTAGGAACATCTTTATATTGAACTAGCTTTTACCCGCGGCTTCGCTCGCGTCACAAAAGGATAAAAAGTAGCTTACGGGACAGTAGATATTGGTATAGATGGCGCTGTGTGTTTATCCCCGAAGGGGTAGGCACGGGTACACATTACGGCACTTAATGCCACTGTACAATGTTACACTTACTTTTCACTATTTATGTTATGAGTCCCATGTAATAGGAAGTGAGCATATTGCCATATACCGGGCACAATTCCAGACTCCGTGCTACTATTGAGAATTTTATTTAAAAAAAAACCCAGTAATACTTTGCCCGACCTGGGAATCGAACACGAGACCTCTTGCCTGGCAGTCGCACTTGCGACCACTCGGCCAGCACGGCAGTATTTTGTACTCTGTAACTTATAGGTATTAACTAGCTGTGCCCGCGACTTCGTTCGCGTAGAATAGTGACTATGAGCAGCGTTTTTTTTTTAAATATATACTTATTTTTATTTTAGATTTGGATCATAATCACAGTCATTTTGGGTAGCTAAAAAACCTACTTTACTGTAATGCTTCTCTATATACAATATTAGACGTATGGCCGTCGGGGGTGAAAGCATACAGGCTGCTGGGATTGCTAACACGGGACAGAGACTGCTAACAGCTGATACTTAGATGTATATATATTGTTGAGAGATGAAGCTTAGTGTTGTGGTGTGCTGTTGACTTGTTTTATTATGTTGCTGTTGACTTGATTTGTTCCGCAACCGATTTTATCTATTTGTTTTAATGTTATTTTTTTATTATTGAGCTTTTAATGACTGTGTCCTTTGTTTTGATCTTTGATTATTCTTTTGTTTTGTATTTATATTTTTGTATTCAGGGTTGACTATTGTATAATGAGTGATAACAAAAGTTTATCATTACTAATTATATAATTCTTATTTATTGTAAATTTGGTAATGTAGAGAAATTAGATAAATTTTAATTTAATTGATATAGTGTTCTCAACTCAACGCATGCTGTGATGTTCTTCAAATGTTGTGCATTAGCAGTAAGATGTTAATTCCTAATTTTAAGTTAATGATAAAAATGTAGCAACAACTGGATGTCCAAATAAATAAATAAATAAATACCCACCACTTTTAGAGTCTGACCTTGAGCTTTATTAATTGCCATGGCGAAACATAGGCTCACTGGAAACTGAATTCGTTTAAAATTAAACGGAAAATTTCTGGCATTTCTGAGATTAGCGTGAACAGACAAACAGACAAAAAAAAAGTTAGTTACATTTTTGGGTTCGAAATCGACATAACAATAGCCCCTGCTATTTTTTTTATTTTTATTTTCAATGTACAGACAGCACTTTTCTACAATTTTATTATATGTATAGATAGATAGATAGATAGTGTTCGACGTGATTCTTTAATTTGACGTAACTTTTTTATTTATGAACCGATTGACATGAAACAAACACTAAAGCATAACTGAAGCATACCACAATATATTCGTGAAAACCGCATCCAACTCGGATAAGCCGTTTCTGAGATTAGCGTGAACAGACAAACAGACAAACAGACAAAAAAAAAGTTAGTTACATTTTTGGGTTCGACATCGACATAACAATAGCCTCTGCTATTTTTTTTATTTTTATTTTCAATGTACAGACAGCACTTTTCTACAATTTTATTATATGTATAGATATAGATTAAGTACCAGATCTTACCAGAAGTAATTCCAATCGATACATTTATGATATTCGGATCAACGATCTGGTTTTTGATCTGGTAGGCGCACAGTAATGCGTGTTGTGCCTCGTCTTCGTGGCTGAGTCCTCTCAAACCAAATACTATGAGGATCATCATATCCTTGTCGAACATGGACACCTTGTTAACCAGTCCACCAGATTCTGACGTCAAGCTAGAGAGGTGATGAAATTGGTGAGCCTGTTACTTATAATAATTCAGCAACTATAACTCTACTTATTTATCTACGTTTATTAATATTTACTAGAATGCCCTAAGTCAGAACAAGTATAGACCATTCCATATACGCGGGAAAGTCATTTCATGTGTGCGGTATTTTCAACTGATGTGGCTTACTAAAAAGCCGACAAAGTAATTGTAACTCCCTAGCGATGCGTATGTCCACTATGCATAGGTGGTGCTAATCGTTTCCAATCAAGCAATTCGTTTAATGATAAACAATAATATGCCATTTTATCATCCAGTTACCTATAAGGGGAAGTCCCTTAACGCCGGACGGCACCTAACGCCGTATACGCGACTAATAACGACTAATAACTAATAACGCGAGCGATTCAATTTTTAGGGAGAAGTCTCCCAGTGGCAGTCACCTAAGATTTTTAGTAAAAATTGAATCGCTCGTGTTATCAGTTATCGAGATAATCCAGGCGTACGGCGTTAGGTGCCGTCCGGCGTTATGGGACTTCCCCCTAATTAAGAGGACAAAAGAACTAAGAACTACCAAAATTATTATATTTTGCTTTTACCTCGAAACTCGCTTATAAACAGTATCAACGAGTTCAATAAGTACATCAGGAGTGACAGTCCTCGTAATGATATTGAGGAAGACGACGATGACGCGGCGGATTTCAGTGAGGAAATCCATTGGCTCATCATTCTCCACTGCACGAAGAACTGGTAACGCCATGAACCGCCGAAGGTCAGGGTACCATGAAGTTCTTACTGCTGCTATTACAGCTGGCCGAACTACAAATACCGAAGATACATCACAACATTGCTCGAAGAAGTAGAGGGGTCGACATCTTAAAGGAGATAGATAAGTACCTACTTCGCTAGCATAGGAATCCCACAAAAAAGCCATACAGCGTTCTGGAGTTCATGATTATTTTTGATCATAATTTGATTGCCTCATTGATCAAGAAGACAGGCTGGCTGCCTAACAAGGTCAGCACGTCTGCCGAGCAATTACCCTCGGATTCAATTCCAGCATCGACCAGTTTAATTAAAATTTTCTTAAAATATCTTGCAATTTTGAATGGTTGGTTTACAATAACAACTAGAGAAAAGTGGACGTTTAACTAGATTCTAAAATAAAAGCTGTTGGTAATGGTACTTTACTATAGAAATTGGAAAAGAAATCTTACGAGAGAACTCCTTGTACATGATGAGAGCTGCCGAATCGCTAGAGTCTGTCGAGAACGTAGATTCGCGATGTTGTTTCGCAAACCCTACCGTCTCGGAATCTGGAAAGGTTATGAAAAATAGTCATAACCAAGTAATAATGCAAAGATTTAGATAGTCTAGCTCATACTAGCACTACGTTAGACGGTTAGTGCGGTATAGAAGAATAAATTGAAATTATGGTAGTACCTACTTATTAAGAATGTTCTATTTAGGGATCAGGGTTCAGGGCCAGGATTCCGCCTTTACTGGCCAAAGGGAATATTATGATATTATTAGAAGATGCTCACGCCTGGTGGACTACTGCCCAACAGTTAAGTATACCTAAATATATTGGGAATTTTGACCGTATTAAATTAAACCTTTAAAGTGTTTCTATTTTAATTCAATTAGATAAATGGATAGAAGAAGGAAAGTACACTCACATTTTCGTTCTCCTAAATTTTCTTGCAATTTTTCCACTCTCTTCCAAGAGGCACCAACTCCTAAAACCTAGATAGATAGATATGTAGGTACATAATTCTATACTGTCCACCATAAACAGATTACAAAATAAGGAAATTAAACATTAACACCTAGCGTGAGGAAGAAAGAATAACTTAGCAGCTGTAATATTGTTTGCATTAACTTAATTTGAGGTTTTTCGATGGTCAAATGACAGCAACAGACACTACTGAGAAACAGGTTACCTACCGGGGTCAATATCCGGCTAAGGCAAACACTAAAAATATTTTTTTTTATATTTGATCTTATGTTATGCAATTCTGCCTACCTATACCTACGGTTGGGAAAGGTGTAGTATTGTATTATTAGGGATAAACCTAATCTATATATTATAAATTATCACAACCTCATCTAATGACAATTCTAAGAATCCAAACCTTAGTATGTCTTCCGTCTCCACACGGTTGAGTCCAATACTCAGCTTCGTTAACATAAGTCCAAGCGCTGGCAGCAGTCAGCACATCTCCTGACTTGGACATATACTGTGCCATCTTGACGTCCCACACAGGCTGGCCAATGATCACGAATGACGAACTCGATTGAGTCAAGTTCTCGTCTCCAATGATCGAAAAGTGCGAGAGGCCAGCTGATATTGCCACTTTTACTGGATTTGAGGAGAACAATAACGAAGAAGAACAATTTTAGAGTAAGTGAGTAATGACAGAAGGAGAATAAGTACGAACTACTTTCACGGTAGGTTTTTCGATTTCGAAATGCTTGGTGGTACTACGTTAGCGGTAACCTACGTTAGCGGAGGATTTGCCTTCAGCAGTTATCTGTCTGCAATCAAAGGCTTTAATAGTACCTATGTATGTATTAGGTACAATAGGGCTGGTGGTACCTACCAGAATTAGTACCATGTTACCGTTAAGAACTCTAAACTGTAGTAAACTAAACTTGTCTACCAATCAATACTTCTATTTCAGTTCTAAAGAACAAAAGGCATGATGTCAAATTATCCATGCTCATGCTGATGTGGCAGGATGTCAAACACATTGATTTGATTAAAGGTTCGAACCAAACAATATTTTTGAAGATGATAACTTTAGCAACTAACCCTTCAAAACAACACCAACATCAGATGTAAAATTTCCGTAATTCTTCTGTATAATAAGACCGCAGTCGATGGCACTATGGACCACATCCTGCATGGACAACCTGGCGGTTTTCTTCCACATGGACAGGAACGCATCACCGGAGAACTTCAGCACGTCCCCATTGTGTGTCAATATCTCCTGGACCATGGCTCCGATGTAGGAGTTCAGAACTTTCGTCAGTCTTGATGGCCCACCACTTCCCGAGATTGTGTATTTATCGCAAAGTTCGGTAAAACCTTGAATAGTAGTTACAAGATTAACTATGTTTCTACCTGACTGTATTAAAGTAGATCTTTATGTCTTGGCAATTCTTTCATTCTTACGTAGAGACTACTTTTTGACACTCTTAAGGCTACCCCTAAAAATCTTCAAAAACTTTCAACTTTTAATATTGACAATATAGCTATAGCTGTGTGCTATAGGTAGGTATTGGACACCTCTGCTTGCCTACATATACTGCAGAGAATTATTACGTATAATGATTTACTGACACATCACGAACCCACTGGATAGTGGATACCCTATTATATCAATGGAACAAGCAAGCATGAGTAACTGACATATGATGAGTTACCTAGGCACCTAACTAAATGCCTAATTTCTTTAATGAGATCACATGCAGTTTATAGCCCTCATTTGATACATGTCGTCTATCCGTTTAGAAAAAAAACCATTACGGTTAGTCAAATTAACGAGGCTCGGCTACATTTTTCACTAAATTGTACCTTAGACAATCTAAATCTGTCCCTCATCAGAGTACGGTGTTCAAAGGAGTACCTATAAGCGTTTTTAACTCTAGCACCAGAATTAAGATTTATCATCGTTTATTAAGGGTTGATTTTTAGGATTTGGGTTCACCTATTTTTAAGAGACCTGCATATCTCCAAGTAAATACAAACCAGAAACATCACAGAACATGAGGGCGGTCTCATAGCTTCTGATAGAATAGTCGCAATGCTTGTAAATGATCTCATCAGGCACCATGGACGCTATGATGCCCATGCGAGCCGCCTCCGTCATCGAGTTCAATGTGTCTTTACTGTCTAGCCTGGAAATTATAAGAACCTTTCTAATTTCGGTAGCCGGTAATTGCAGTGGATTTGTGACAAAAACGGAATGTCTCATTTGCTCATGTAGTACCTATTAGTACCGAGCAATGAGCTCGATCGCAGTCCACTATGTCATTGGTTGTGAGATCTCGATCTCGATCAATGACGGGCAAGAATTGCTTCGAGAGTCCAAATTGACATTTTACAGAATAGCCTGCAGGCCCGATTCCTGGGTAGGACCAAATATTATCGGGTTGTTTAATTTCAGTTTTTCGAAAAACTCTTAGCAATTACTGTGGGTACCGTGGGTTGCTACCCACAATCTGGGTTTCTGGACAGCACAGGTACCTACAGTGCCCATCAGTCAACCTACTTACTCCAATCTATCTTTGTTTCGTTGGTTTTTCGACTTCGAAGACAATAGGTATGTAGGTACAATAAATTTAAAAATATATTCGACTGTCAACAATGCCAAGCTCTAAGTGCAAGTGCATTGTGATGCACGCAGTCCGGGGTTCGAACCCAGCGCTGTACAAATTACCTAAGTACGTACCTTACACGTAGTGATAAGTAGGTAGGTACCCAGAAGTCATTGTTGAAACCTGACTATTGGTCTTTTTAACTTTCTTAGGTCCATTCTGATCTGCATAGTTAAGTAATTCTAGTAATACACTTAGATTTATACATAGCCTGTTTCTGCATGCTCTGCTTCCTTCGACGTGCTCTCGGGGTCTCTATCTCAGTCGGCACATCGTTCACGACAGAATGCCCGTGGTGCACCCGTTTCATAGCCATCAGATACTCATCATAATTTGTCTCGCTCTGTCTGTCCTGGAGAGCTTTATGTGCATTCATCATAGGCGACAAATAATCTAGACCTAAGTTGCAAAAATATGCTGTTTATTTTGAGATTGGCTTCCTCGATGAAATAGTAATCGCAATCACACAGTAAAGATGGGATATTTTAGGTTATTCTCCTTTTTTCTCAATGGGGTTTATAACATAACATAACCAAAAGTAAGTGTTGGTGCACTTTTATAGGTTTCCCTTCTTCCAAAATAAAAAGGAATCTAGCAATTAGGTAAATATTATAATTATCAATGATGGTGTCTATCGTACGTACTTGTCCGTTTATCTTTTCCCTTGTCCATGTTTGAGGACAATTTAACTATTTATTTGTTTCAGAAGTATAAATAAAACAGAACTTGATCTGCAACTGACATAATCCTGACAGTAGATTTTTTTATTTATTGTTTATCTATCAAAATACATATTGTCTGTTTGGAGTTCTTTATGCTGTTAGAAGCTACTATCAACAAAAAAAAATATAATAATCTTTAACAGGTACCTATTATTTAACTCCGTTTATTTTGCTTAAAGCTTGATTGATATATGACGGAAGTACCTTACTACTAAACTACACCTTCCATAACGAATAAAATTATCCAATTTCGATAATGTAAACTGATCTAAATACGCCTCATAAGTTTGTCTTTAAGTTGAATTACCTACATAGGTCCACGTTCCTAAAATGCGAGGTACCTACCATGATAATGAGGATAAGTAAAATAACAGACCCAAGTAGTTTTAAAAAGAAACGTTTATTGAATCACAGCCACAGAAAATACAAGTAAATACCCGTTATGTATGACCGACATTGCTATTGTACGCGGACTTATCTTCGTGTCGTTGACCTTTGGACCTTCCTATAAATAAAAATCAAAATAGCGCAAACGGTATAGTTAGTAAACACTCTGATTATTTAGAGCAAAATATTACGCTTGTTTTATTAGTAGAAATTTAATTTGTACTACACGTAGGAACCAAAGAATGTTATTATCAAACATGATCATGATTCAATCAATGCAAACATGGCGGCGACGCGCCCTCCATATTACGAGCCCTTTTACAAGAACTGTTCTGCTTTTAGATATTCTAAGCCCAAAGAAGCAAAATTAGTATTTCTCACTTAAGTAAAGATTTAAATTACATAAAAGGAATTAAGTAAGGATCTTTTTAATCACTTGAAAAATTTTACTTACCAATATAACCAATACCATTCTCATAAGTAAATACTTACGCAGTTAATGAAAACAATAAGCTGCTTCCAGGATTTGCTCCCGAACTGGTATCCCAGCTAAATTGCGTGCAGGTGCGTGCCATATTGCAGCTCGTATTTACCTACATTCTAATTACCTAAAATGTATGTGGAATTTCCACTGTTTATGTTAAAATAGGCGAGGCAAGACAAGGTAAAATAATGAACATTCTTGCTATAGGTAAATAATGAATAGCAATCTTTGTTATGCACCTTTGATGAAGCCCAAAATAAAATATCGTTTAATTTCAATATTTAAGGCTTTTTATTCGCTGATGGCGAAGGTTGCATATTATGATATGCCATGCTCACATTTCACCAGGTAGGTACCAGATATCCATAATATCTCCAAAAAATTCATGATTTTTAGCCTTGTCACATCTTACCCATCTTATTGAATAGAAGCGAGTCGGAATAATGAATAGATAAGTATAATGAGGGATCGAAATATAATATTATGAATAAGTACCTATAACTTCTGTGGTGAATTTATTTTTAAATGTATGTTCAACTATAAAATTAGTTAGGGAGTAGGTAAACTTGTTCACGAAAGTAGAAACTAGTATATTTAAATGGACCATTATTCAAGCAAACATTTTTCCATAACAAATTCCTTCGAGTTGTTCTAACATGTATTTATGAAGAAAGTTATTTATGAATCATTCCAAATTACTGAAGTTAATGACTCAACATTATTGGTATCTGTTTACATTATTTACTATTGTTTTATTACATAATAGTAATTCATTACTATCGGTCAATTGAAGTTATTTAACAATAGAATTTTATGGCATTAAGACAATATATTACTGATTAATATAACATGTAAATGATCACAGTAATGATGTCCTTAAAACATGTTAATAAATAGCACAAAAATTAATATTAATGATTATGATCCACTTAAACACACATTTGGACAAAAATATTTGAAGAATGACCCAATTAAAATTCATAGATAATGTAAATAGCTAACTAACAATTAAGTGAAATTACTAAATGATATGATTGAGAGTGGAACAACTTTGCAATTGCAATACCTGATTTTAAATCTATCTTGTCAGTCTTAGTAGGTACCTAAATGTTTTGTCTTTATTGACATTATGAGAGATTCCATGATGACTACATTAGCATGACTAGAACTAGTTAATATCACATTTAGCAGGGAGGTTTAAAAGCAAAAGGAATGTGTCCATACCCAGCACATACTTACCAAATGGTGAAAATAATAAGTAAGGTTGCGTACCTAACTGTTCACCTTATTTCTGATCACATTTTGAGACATATCACTGGGGAACTGCCCTCTGAGGGACCACTATATCTACCTACACTCATTGTCATAGTTCAGTCTATTTAGACCACAACACAAACACTAGGCTTCACTGAATTATATTTGGATTGAAGCATTTTCACTTGGTTACTGAACAGTGACTTTAAGTCATGATTTTCACTCAAGTGATCAATTTATCACTGAGAGCACATTTCAACATCACATACTATTCACTAGTTTAAACAACTGCACTGGCCTGAGCACAACTCACAAGGTTTAAAAAAACTACATCATAAGATGAAATATTCTATTTGCAAGTTCACACACTTACACTACACATCACCTAACATACACTGAATAAAGAATACACTATAACTTTGTCCATAATGAATATACACTTAATGTTCAAAATGAATATTTGCTAATTCTAGCAAAACTATAGTTTATCTACATTTATTAGCAATAAATACATTATTGCCGTCACTACAAGGCTAACACAGCACTTGCACAAGTAATGTGAAACTCACAATTTTGATTAACAACACCTCACATCACTACACATCACAAGTATACATATTGTTAAATATGAAGATCGAAGACAACAATTTTTTAAAAAGAACTTAGTCTAGTTATGTAAACTCATAATGTGTAAATCTAGTAGAGTTCATATTAGGTATTAGTGTCCCCCATCACCACCACTGTTACTGATCTCCCATTGAACTCATTGGTCAAGTAGTGACCTGTCCAGTTTGGGAGCTCAGAAGTTCATACTAGGCTGAGCCACCCCTCACTACTACTATCACCAAATGGTCTTCCTTTAGACTTTCCTCAGTAAGGTTGTGACATGTCCTCTTGAGAAGTTCAGTAGAGAATTCACAAGGTGGGAATGAATACAACACGCCTGTTGCCTCTGTTTCTTTGTTAAGCAAGGAAATCACACCTGCTGCTTCTTTCTGTTTCAAGTAGGAGACCAAGTTCCTCATAGGTCTAGTTTGAATACTTGCATCTTCATTTGTCACAGAAGCCGTAGACCCTGCCACACCCAAGAATATAGCATGTGAACTGGAGGTTGCGATGCGCTTTTGAACATCATCTAGTTTTGGTTGATCCAAACGTAATCTTTGTGTGATTCGTAGCTGATTTTTGCCATCTTCATCTTTCATCAGACTATCAATAATCTCAGAATCACCATCAGTTAAATGGAACTTAGTAGGGAACAAGGAATTCTTTAAGATCAGTGCACCATTCCATATAGTAGTGGCTTTGCGAACCACTTCTGGTAAAGTCCGAGCTGATGCCAGCATTCCACCACTACGACGTGGGGATCCATCTGAGTCACTGTCGGGAGACCGACGCCGTGGCGTACGAGACCGCGAGCGATCCACGCCCGGTTCCCGTGAACCGGAACGTCGAACACGTCCTTCATATTCTGCATCAGCTGGTGCACGCCTCCACTCTTCTTCACGATAATCCCCTGAACCATGATAAACTCCTCGGTACATTCCCCGCCCTCGACCTCGATGGCCACCTCTGCCTCTGTATCCAGGGGTTCCATATGCATAACCTTCTTCCCAACCTTCATATCCTTCATAACCTTCAACAGGTCTACCATCTTCACCAACAGGCGGTGCATAAGGCTTTGGTCTATAAGGACCCCCAGTGCCGACATCAGCAAAATCAATTCGTAAACGTCTTTCTGGACCACCTAGTGGAAAACCTCTCATCTCTTTTACAGCAGCCTGGGCTGCATCAATTGAATCATACAATATGTAAGCATGAGGTTCTCCTTTAGCATATTCAATTTTTTTAATTGCTCCAAATCTATCAAATTCCCTCTCCAATTGAGCAACAGATGTCCAAGGACCTAGTCCACCCACCCATACACGTGTAGTAGGAGTTGCCTTGCCATATCCTATTTTACATTGGAATTTGCCAATATACTGGCCAGAAAGTTCCACTTTAGCCCTGTGGGCCATGTCTAAAGTTTGATAGCGGACAAATGCAAAAGCATTCCCAGTACCTGGTGGTGGGCGTTTTATATCTATATCCTCCACTATACCATAGCGCCCAAATATGCGCCTTAGCTCTTCATCTGAAATGTTTATCTCCAAGTTACCAGCAAAGAGAGTTCTAGTAGCTAATGGATCATCTTCTGGCTGGACATGGTGCAAATAGTTGGGAAATTTGTCTTTCTTATTCTCAATTTTCTCAAAAGGTGGGTGGTGGGGGCGTGGCATGTAAGGGCGAGGCATGTAATGAGGGTGTGGTGGGTGATGCATAGGTGGTCTGTGATGCATTGGGGGACCATGAGGCCCAGCCATAGGGTACTCATGCATGGGAGGTCGAAAATCTCTATGATGAGGAGGAACAGTTGGAGGTATACCATAGGCCCTGTCATCTGGAGGAGGTCTACGTCTCTCAGGCACTGGAGACCAAGCATACGAATACGGTCGCTCATAATCAGGTGGTGTTATGCTTCTTGGTCGGCTTCTATATTCAGCACGAACTGGTTCATAAACTGGGTCAACAATAGCCACTTTATCATATAAAATAATCCTTGGCTTGGCATGTTTAGCATCTCTGGCGTCTTCCGCACTGCGAAAGCACACATAAGCAACTCTCTCATCTAATTCGTGGGAAATTTTGATGCTGAAGTCTCCGAATTTCTTGTATTCTCTGTAAAGAGTGTCTTTGACAATTTCATCTGAAGCTTTTGGGTGAAGTGCACTGACACATAAAACTTTGTAATAAGGACGAACGGAATCCTCTCTGACGTCACGGGACCTCACATAGTCATCGCGATGGGGCGACACATAACGCCCCCGGGGGCTCGGCGAGCGGACCCGACGGCGAACTCGTTCAGGAGTGACGCGCTCGTCGGAGCTGTCGTCATACCTGCCTATACTACTGCGTGTTCTCTTCGATCGCGGCATACTATCCCTGGACGAACTCCTCTTCATGTTACGAATTTTCACCGTTATTCGATCTCTATCTCTATCGCTACGCGGTAATCCAATCATGAAAGCTCAGTTCGACGAACCACTATCTGAAATGCACAACATTACACGTCACTTCAAAATGTCGCTTTGTTCCAGAAGATAAATCACTGCAACGCACAATAGTGTTTTAGTCTTACCACAACGAAATAAGCGACTTGTCTCACAATTCACTGTACAACTCCACTCTGCACAAAGTAACAGTCAATAGTCACAGTTTTCAACTATTTTTAATTAACACAAAAGGTAAAAGCAACAAAAATTTCGACGGCTGAGGCACTTACGTACGCATCGCGCGACGAAATATGAATGAAATTGAATGATAAAATCCATTAACAATATGGCTGCCGAAAATCTTGTGACGACGCTTCCACTTCCACCATCATTGGTTGCCGCCTTATTTCCAGTGTTACCAACTATTGAACACTACGGTCCCTAAAAGTAAAGTCAAAATTTTTATTATACCTCGAAATAAAATATTATGTAGATTGTAATCGCAATAGTGGTAAGGTTGTGTACTGTGTCTGTACTGAAGTAGTTGATTGATTGGTAAATTTCAAAAATTTTATAGTTAAAATCGGTACTAAATTAGAAAATTAAATTGAAAGAAATATAATTTAGTTGTCAAATATACGTTTACATAAACTAAGTATTAGAAACGTAAGCAATAAATAACATGTCTTTTCTTTGTATAAGTTATTTTACGGTTGTTGAGGGATTATGTGTAGGTAATAGTTAATATTGATGATGATTATTGTACTCTGAGTTTACTTATAATGTGTAACTGCATTTATTGTATTAGGTGTGCCTGTGATGATATATGTAATGTTTAAATATAAATAAATAAATGTTTGCGATGGTCCATGATTTGCAGATAGCGTTGACATACAATAAATGGTAGGTTCATAATGGTAGTGCGCTATGTTGCAAATTTGAATTTATTACCCCTAAATTGGGGAAAATACTTAAGTACGGAACTCTGGTGGTTTCGTACATTCAATTTCCTTTCAATCAATAAAAATAGTCATTGACAAGCTTGTATGTAAGTTTTAATTTTATTCTAACTGTAGATACAAGGGATTCTAGACAAACACGACATTTGAAACATTAGATCAATGAAAGTAAATTTATAAATAAATAAACCAGAATTTTCAATTGTTTTATAATTTTATCATGACATAAAGACCACCCTTTTTGTGAAAATCTCGAATTATATACTAAGATCCAGGATCAAAGGAACAAACAAACAACTGTCAAATGAAGAAGAAAGTTGGTCTACAGTTGACCTTAAAAAATACTCTCTTGTTGTTGACATAACATAAAACTACTTTTTAGTTTGAAGTAGAATTGCAGAAGAAACGGTAAATCCCAGCTACAATTAAATCGAGTCGGGTCAAGGTAGCACAGAATAATACCGTAATTATAATTTTAATTAAGTCGTATTTATTCATGCACACAGTTCAAGGTTCACAGTTTCATACTGACGGCTGACGGCAAAAAACGTAAACATATAACTATTATGTACTTAGTGCCTACAATATCTTAATATACAACATGTAATAACAATGAACAGTATCACGCTGATAATGTGTAAATACGTCAGATAAAGAAAAAATAAGTTTTATTGCTACTGATATCCATTTTGTCCAAGTGAAACCATCCGCGAGTGCCGCGAGTCAGGATGGACGTAATAATCAAAGTAAATAATCAGACCACTGGAAGAGACAAATTAGCCAGGTTTGTAGCGTTTCTTTAAAGAAAAAAATACAGTAACAGTCACTAAAACAGGTTTATCTAATTCAAGTATTGTGCTAATATCTCTGTAAATACAGATGAACACTTTCAGATAATTTCGGCTGGCAAAATATGAATAATGTGATTCTCTTTACAGGCTTATTCAGTACACAAGTCGTCTAGTCTGGCATCAATTGGAAATCAGGAATGCAAACAAGTATTCCGTTGACAGAATAAAAAATTTAGAGCTAACATTCAGTTCTTTCAGAAAAAGTAAGTATCTAACTACTGATAAATTATTACATATTATTTATTGCCTTGGATTTATAGCTAAGGCAAAAAGTGTTTCTTATGATAAGATTTACTATGTACATAGTTACCTGCAGCGATCATTCAGCCAATATTTGTTTTTTTTGTCAATAATTTTATAACAATCACAGCATGGTCTAACTAATGTGTAATAAATACATTAAAAACTCATATCAAATATGAGTTTGTATTATATAAGTAATTATAATATTTTACTGTTTATTAGTTAACTACTACTCATAACTTAAATGGTAATAACTTAATAGTTATGAGTAGTAATTTATTATACTAATGTATAATTAATAATCTAAATACTTTAATTAAGTCGTTAGGAAAGTATGTCAGATGGCTCTACAAAGTTACTAATTTTATTTATATATGAAATTTTAAACAATAGTGGTATTATTATATAACATGCAAATACTAAATAATATTTTTCTTTTTCCAGTTTTAAGGCTTGGAAGATGCATAGATATCTGCTACACGGCTCTAAATAGCATGCACATTGAAGACCCCATATTAAGAGTAACATTGACAATAAGCAAACTGGCGCATGCACTGTTCCTCTACTCGGACCATATAGTTTGGCTGACTAAAAGTGGATTTCTTAAAACAGATTCAGAAAAATGGAACAGAACAGCCAATAAATTCTGGCTCATTTCAATCATTGCGAACCTAGCCAGAGATTTCTATGAAATTGTCCATCTCATGGGTTTACATCGGACATCATTGTTGAAACCTTCAGAACTTCTGAATTCTACAATGAAGTATGACGTGAATGGTAGCATCAAATACATGTACATGTTGATGACCTGCCATAAAGATGTATTTATTGATACTTTAAAGAATTCTTGTGACATGTTCATTCCACTCACTGCATTAGGTGTTACTAAATTAAGTCCGAGCACTGTAGGAGTACTAGGGGCTATTTCCTCATTGGCTGCATTAGTAACCATTGTGAAACCAATTACTAAATTAGTGCCTGCTTAAATTATGATGATTTCTTTATACGGTGCTGGGCTTATGTATCTAGATTCGATTGTGATAATTCAATTGGAATTTTTTATATATTGTTCATAGGAATTTTTACTGTAGAAATTTAGGCAAGAGTACTGCAAGATATATGCTTTTAAAAAGTCAGTTTAGTAATTTTAAAGTTATCATTAAGAATTAATGAACAATTAATGTAGATTTTTGTCTTTTTATTAGTGGCTTGAGTTTGTATCAAACTATTATAATTATGATTATGTAAAATAATATCTCTACTTAATTATCTGTAGTACTTATATGAAAAATACAATTTTATTGTGGTACAATGAATAAAATGAATAAAAATATACTCTTTTAATCAATTTTTTTTTTGCTTTTCTTATGTTCAGTTTAACTGTGATTTTAGCCCAAGCGAAGTGGTCATAATATTATTAATCCTAAAACCTCAATTTTTACAATTTATGAACTACTTTTTATTTTTGTTTTATGAATGGTGTAGTGTGTGTGTGTGACACCTCGCCCTATAAGTAAGTAGTGTAAGTTAGTTATTAGACACTTAATTAAAGTTATTCATAAGAACAACACGTCTCCCTCATTGCTCCACATTGCATGGCGACCCTGCCAGTGCTGCCACGCGGGCAGCGCTGAGCACGAGTACAATGTTGGTAATTTGTGTTTGTTGAAAATAATAAAGACTAAGTATTTTAAAAGTGGACTAAAAGTGCGTATCGGTGTTCGTGAAGTGGAGAAATGTTGCTGGCTGCCGGGTGTCGATGCAGCCAGATGTGGACCTGCCGGGAGCGGTTGGTGTCCTGGAGGATGGAGCCGGGAGATGTTGGCGACCAGGTAGCGTCTGAGAGAATCTCCGCTACCCTGGGTACACAATGTAACCGGACTCGAAAGTACTTTGTGTTTAAATGTTAAGTGTATTAGTGTAGTTAAAAAGTGAAAATGGACACCAATATATAGAACTGTAGTAGTAAGTTAAACATAATTGTAATAGGCCCCACGTATTTTATATGTTAATTTAAGTTATATCACATAATTTTAATCATTTTAGTTATAAAATATTATTTTACACTAGATATAATTCACGCCTGTTGACAATCATAACTAGTACTTTTTTATGTTGAATAATTTTTATAATTAATATTATTTTGAACGAAATAATAATCTTGCAATTTTTGTTGTAAATTAGAGAATTTTAAATTTCATACTTCACTAACATTAATCAGATTAAAGGAATGTTCCCATGCCCATATAGGTAAATGATGTCATACCGAGTGTCAGATTGTATTGAAAGAATCGTGTTACTTGACACCGATTAACAATAACAACTGCACTTTGGTTTTGTCTTATGAAATAAATAAATTAGATGAATGAAATTTGATATTAGCTAGGCTTTGGAATGTGTTCATTGTTTGTATAAGTATGTAAGTTTGGTTTTTAGGTAGTTTGGAATAACTTGGTACACAAGTTTTGGCGTATGACTGAGGGCTGATCACCTAAAGACAACGTAATATTTTGTAGACCAAGCAATTCAATCAGATTGTGTTTATGTTAGGTTTGATAGTTGAAGGATAAGTTAATAATAAATATAATAGGTACACATGGTAAGGTACAGTTTAGTGTTCATGTCCTTAGTTTGATCATGGTGTAGACGAGCTCTCTCTGTGAAAATTATTGGAGGTTAAAAGAACCTTAAATATTGACACTAAATTTATAATGAATATAGAAGTGAATGATAGTAAGCACAAGTATAATGATGAAACGAAGAATGATGATAAAATATATTGAAATAATAATTAATGAACAGGTACCGGAGAGTCCTGTATAAATGTAATGTGCTTACATATGTATAATGTTATTGTGTACCTTACGATGATAGTGAAAAGATTTAAATAAAGTATATCATGTGTACCTAGTTATAAAAGACATAAAGGTTTAGGATAATGGAAAATGATTTTAATAATATGAAGAATAAATATGTAAGAGGAATAAATTGATAACAGATTTTAATAAATATTTTATAAAAATTGTCAACAGTGCGAGTAATTTTATATAAATAATATATAATTTTATAGTTGTATCTAAAAAAAAATATATTAGAATATTGTTTTTTTTTCAAAAAAACGGGGGAGGTGTAGTGTGTGTGTGTGACACCTCGCCCTATAAGTAAGTAGTGTAAGTTAGTTATTAGACACTTAATTAAAGTTATTCATAAGAACAACACGTCTCCCTCATTGCTCCACATTGCAATGGACGTTGAAAAAAGGCGGGCATAATATCACATAGAAATGATCGAATCGAAGTATGTACTAAAATTCCAGTGGGTTCTCGTGCGTGTGACTGTAAATGGGTAACCGTTGTCCTTCCTGTGAATGTGTGTATGTTCTGCGTGTAAGTCTATAGTAGCCAGGTGCCACAGTTGGCTAATTGCCAATTTGGCTAATTTTGGTCTTGAAATGTTCTTGTAAGTCCAGGAAAGGTATAAAAGGTGATTTTTTTTCACACGGTATGATGTTTACCGGGTCAGCTCAATTAAACCTGATATTTTTTGTTGGCAATCTCGAAAAAGGTTATGTCAAGAGTGTCAAGTATCAATCCATCAATCTATCTGTCAACTGAAGTTGATATTCATATTCACAGATATTTCGAATATTTTGTATTTTATGTAACAAAGTTATAAAGAATACACAATAAAAATGGCCCGTAATGTAGCGGACGCAGCTAGGAAATTTTTACTTCTAGGTCAATGCGTACCTACTGTAAAACAAAATGCTGCAAAAATAAGAGTGAAGAGGTTAGAACTGGACGAGAATCTACTCATGGTTTGTATTTATTTATTACTTAGATCGCCTAAAACAAATATGTCTATTAATTTCATTAATGTCTACATTTTATAATTTCAGTATTTCAGAAAAGACGAATTTTACTATTGCCATGATCCCCAAAAAATCTGCAAGACTGGCGATATCGTCCTCATACAGTCCTTGCCACAAAAACTTACAAAACTAATTACTCATGAAGTGAAAGAAGTGGTTTATCCATTCGGTGACATTACTGATCCTATTACAGGCAAGAAGGTGGCTAAAGAACAGTACAGGGAGGACATGGATAGACTAGCTAATGTTTATGGAAAATTAGATTCTGCATTCAACTATGATAAGGCACCGCCTCGAGGTTGGCAAGATGGAAAGAAAGATTTTACCTCTAAGCCTACCTACACAAAATTCCATGTTTTTGATGAAAATGATCCTTATGCCATTTAATTTTATATGAATGTTGTATAGTATAATTATTTTAGCAATAAATGATTTAGTGTTAGTAAATATTTTTGTTTTTTTATCACTCAGCATAACAGTGGTAAGAAGAAAAACCTCTTTAGGGTAACACACAGCAGTTGTTACTCTGATCATGTTCATTTCATTCTAAGGGATAATTTATGTGAATCAAGTTATTTATTCTAGAATAAGTATCAAACACCTCTAGGCTTTATTGGGGCTATACACACGGCATTGACAATTCTTTATTAATTTGCAATAAATCTAATAAAACATTATCAATATTTATTGAATGTTGTAGTCTTTTTTTTTTATAACGCTATGGAAATCCTCATGGACTTCCCACGCCGTGGGGACGACGGGGTGGTGTGCCGGACTCTTACCAGCTAAAACCACCGCGGTGTTCCTCTGCCTGTGGCCGTGACCTGGGACGCCCTTGCGGATTCACCGCACCCGGCATGCCTCGACCTACCACTATATTGTGGCAGGTCCCACCACGTAGCAGCAGCCCGTAAAAGCTGCGATTTCCTTCCTCGAGTGGCGCGCGTGAACACACCGCTAACGCCTACTCCCGCCCATACAGCGGACGACTGACTCCCCTAATCAGTCGCCCGAAGGTCTATCCTATGGAGGTCGCAGATCAGCTACCACCTCGCGGCGTTGACGGCCGGCGCGTCTATGGCGGGAAGGGAGAGAGCTGGACGCCTCCCTCTCCCTTTCAGCCGCCTCCTTTGCCAATATGACACATTCACAGAAGGAAGCGACTCCATCCCATGCATTCTCACTGTCAACCATAGCTCGCACTACAGTCAGCAATGAGAGAAATGTTGTAGTCTATTTCAGCTTTATTTATATGAAATAAAATAAAAAGCTAAAAGAAAAGAGCTTTCCATAGAAACTAATATGATTTTACAGTCTAAATCACACAGCAATTTTGTCACTGGATATTTTATAAATAAAACAGCATATTCTAAAGAAAAGAGCATTAATTTTATTTTTAGCCATAGTAGGCTCATAATTTTTAGATTGCTTGTAACGGTGGCATCAGTCCTGCGCCAGAAGTTCTTTCTCTAACGCCGCGCCCATGAGGTTCCAGGAGCTGTCATCGTCATCTGGTGGCTCATCATCAGAGGGTGGGGACTTTCGTGGTCTTTTGCGGGGTCTGGGTTCATCATCTGAAAATGTTAAAGTTATGATAATGAAAAATATTTTGTCTTGTACGAGAATTTGTTGTAGAAATACGAAAGGAAGACATTGTTCTCACCCATTTCCGAGTCATTTGTCGCCTCTTCTTGTTGTAATCTAAAAAAAAAAAGGAAAGTATTATTTATCTGCATGTTTCATTAATTTCAAACTGTTGTGAATAATTTAAATAGTATCTTTTTTTCTAGTGGACAGAATACAGATTATAAAAAGAACAACAAAATTTTCGTAATATTTTCATTTCATTTACCTTTCTTGTAAGCTGTCTTGCATGCTATTTTCCGCACTAGCGGATATCAATCTATCTTCAGGTGGATTCTCTTCATCATCCAGGTCATCATCTCTTGGTTTCTCCTCATCTGATGAACTTTCATCTGATTCATTGAATATGTCTTCCACCTGTGAACATGATAAAAACGAAGATTGAAGACATATTGTTATTTATTGTTATAAATAATTTGATGGAAGAAAAGGTTGTATTTCGTGCCTTAACTGAGGTGCCCAGAGGTCCAATCATAAAAGGTTGTGTAGATTGTTTATTATCTACCTAACCTATGCCAAATACATAAGTTTTTTAAATATTTGTAGGCAACATACTTCTCTATCCATGTCAGCAATATCATCGCTTGAGAAGGACAGCAGTGGGTTGATGGTGTCCATGAACCGTCCGGATGGTGTGCGCTTGCGCATCGCAGCTACGGGAGCAGGCGCGGGGGGCGGGCTGCTGCAGTGCGCTGGCGGTCGACGAGAACTGCTCTGTGAATAAGAGATTTGACTGTTCAAGTACCGATCAAAAACCTATGATTTGCCAGTTCAATTTTATCTCATTTTATATTTTTATTTTTGTAATCTTTTCCAAGTTAGTAGGATGATTATTATGAATATATTGTCATTAAAATCTGAAACAATACCTGTCCTCCTCTCTGTAAAGGGTATAGTCTTTCATCAACACGTTCCCATCGCTCAGCACAGCTCCATAGCCACTCTGGTGTCACTACATGTAATTTGTTCTTGCCTTCACCCATACGCCGACTAGCATTTACTTTTGCTGTTCCTAAAAATAAGTTTTTGTGGGTAAAAAGTTTTGTGCTAACTTTACAGTTTACCCAATGTAAAATACATCTTTAATAGATGACGATTTACCTGCTCTAACTGCAACTAGATGTGTCGTCTTATCTGAATAATCTTGGGTAACTTCAGCTCCTAAACTCCTTGCAACTTGATACGCCCTTGAGGTCTCCAGTCGTTGATGTGTCGGCACTAAGCCACTAAAAACGAGACTTGTGCCAGCTAATACTTCACTTTTCACTTCTGGGATTATTGATTTCAAGTCAGGAATTTGATTCTTGCCCATTTTGTCATAATAGTCATAAAAATGCCTGGAAAAGTAAGCAAAAGGTGTGATGGAATTTAGTCATTGAACAAGAAGTAGAAGAGAAAATAAAATAATATTTTACTATACTGAGTGGTGAAAAGTAGGTATTACAGTGGTACTACAACTGCACTTCACTTCTTCACACTTTTAGGGAATGGAAAGTATAATGGTTACATTGTTACTTACTTATGTATTCTTTTAAGTATATCATCTAAGTAGATTAAGTAATCATCTGGATCCTCAACTTCTATCTGTCCATCAGAGGTTTCCACCCATTTTGGTTCAGCCTGTTCTTGCGCTATCCTCTCATCACTTTCTTGATCAGCCTCTTGACTTTCCTTCTCTTCTGAACCAGAACTTTTTGCCTCTTTAGAAACAATTTTACCATTATCACTATCATCCTTAGTTTCTTTTTGTTTTAAAGTATCTTTTTGTTCAGGTTCAGCATCTAGAGTAGGCATTTGGTTAACTTGAGCGCCGTTTTTACCACTTGCTAGCTGTTTATCTTTCGGCTTTTCATCAACTGCAAAATTGTAATTTAGTTTAACAACAACTACGAATTTTCTTATTGATTTATTAATTAAACTGTCAAATACCAAGCGGTCACCGGTGACCTCAACCTATTGTTCTATAATTGTGTCTACAAAACCGGTACTCGACGAGTTAAACAAGTGTCTAATTACCTGGTGGTGGTGGTGCATTGATATCTCCCGTTGATTGAAAGAATGAGTATGGCCTAACGTGAATCAGATTGGTTGCATGTCGCCATACGTCTTCACGGTCGTCAATAATACAAACCATATTATCACCACATGGGAATAATGCTCTGAAAAATGATAAAAATCGAATTAATTTGCTATTCTTATAGCACTTAAGTTCCTTTTTGTGTCCATAGAACTCGTACTTACTTCAAATTAGCTGCTTTTGTTCTAGCGTCGAAGCACTCATCCCTAGATAGAATTCTATGAGAAAAATACTTTTTCTCAGGGTCAAGTAAGTCTGCGACGGCGTGCGCGTATTGGCGGGCCCCAAATGTGCAGACATGAAGTTCATAGTTCTTGGAAGCAGATTCTAGGAACTCTTTAGTGCGTGGTCGAAGGCGCGTGTGGCACCAACGGCCAGGACATCCAGGACTGCGCAGAAAGAAGTGTAAGACTCCCTGCAAAACAGAAATTATTTGTTATTTGACATTTTCTTGATTAATATCTCTATTTTTAATAAATATGACTTAAATATTTACCTTTAAATTAGGTGGTATATTATCATTAGTGGTATGAACTAATGTTTGATCTAAATCCACCAGTAATACTAGCTTCCTGTCCTTTAAAAGGCGTTCAGCATCTTCTCGGCCCAATTTTTGTGCCAATTCTTCAGACACCTGCAAATAATATATGACACATTATTTATTTTCTTTTTCTATTGATTTTTTTGAGATATAATATTTATAATAGAATAATGTAGTCCTCGTACCTGTCTATCTTTCAAAGCTCAACAAAAGAAAGTCTTCAGAAGGACTTATTATTTTGATATCTGGATTTATAGTGGAGTTCTAACTAGCATTCACATTAGAACTTGTATCGAAAATCCAATAAACATTGATAGTTTAAAAGAAACTATAAGTAAGACAAAATATTTTGTTCCATTTGCCCATATTGTCTTTGTATTCTTACCTTGAGTTCAGGTACAGAGTGCACCATAGGAACGACGGCGACGTCTCTGTTGGACACCTCGTCTGTGCGAAGGTCGGCACCGCACTCCGCACACATCTCTTTCATCACAGTAGGATGGCGACATTCTTCTAACTCTGCTACAGCCACTCTGAAACATGTATAGGTTCTAATGAAATAATCTATGAAATAATTACAAGGCCAAGGGTCGGTCTCTCGTTTAGTGTTTACAATTTGTATGTTGAATTATAGTGAAATTCACTATACACAAATAAACTTTTGTAACAAAGTTTTTGTTTCGATTTTCAAATAAGTTCTTACATAAATATTAATACCCTACATAGTTTTTTAAATACATACATAGAATAATAAAATTGAAACACTAACAAATATTTTAATATTTAAAAGTAAAATTGTTGTTTGTTTTAGATTGGTGTTAGAGGTTATATTTTACGCGGGAAGTTTTACGTGCAGTTATATTTACCGCGCAAACATAATGCAACTGCACTTCAAAAAAGAGTAATCTTAATCATGTTTGCTATGCTAGAATATTAGTGTTTTGTGTGATAATTAAACAAATAGCTTGATTAATATTATTTTATACCGCATTTATAGTATGACGTCACTTACCCAGGCTCTGCAATGTCTCCTTCCTTCACCTTGATCGACGAGATAGTACCAGCGCGTGCGGCTTTATATTTCTTCAGATCCGTACCGTTGCCTGATGAATCGTTGTATAAAAATAATATTTGACCTTGTGACACAAAAACACCTTGTTTAACTTTCCACTTTACTACTTTCAAAGGTTTTTCTGATGGAACAAAAATAGGCATAGTTTTGTCGGCCATCTTGAACGGATATGGTGAGTTATTTGTAGAATGGCGACTTACTATTGGCCGCTGTTGCGTAGTTTTGGCGGTTTATGTATTTCGACCAATCAGATTTCATTACGACTAAAATCAATACGCAAAAGAACATTGTTTCCGGAAATGGTGGCTCTTGGCAAGCACCGTATAATGTCAAATTTAGAAACGTTCAAAAGTTGGTTTCATGAACTTTCAACAATAAAAAATATTTCTATTTTGAAATGTTTACAAAAAGACGAAAAGAAGCCTGAAGAACGTTAGAAATCAGGTCGCATTCTCATACTTCGTAGAATTTGTCTAGAAAGTGGTTAATTTACAAAAGGTTCTAGCATCGTTGGTAATAAATGTTAAATTGTAGATTTTTGTGTTATAATTTGCGATTATTCGTCTGATTTTCAAAGTAAAAATTAGTCAATATTAGAAATATACTAAAAATAAAGCTGCACTTTTCGTCACATGACGCAAAAATATCTATTTTTCTACTGTTATTAATTTTCTATCAAAATACTATATTATCTGTAACACTGGAAGTCAAACGTCAAAAACAGCAACAATTTTCGCTGTGTATCTTCCCATGTAACGAGTTTTTGATAATTATTATTTTTCGTTTTGTTTAGTTTGTCTAGAATTTAATGTAAATATAAATTCTTAACATTTGCAACATGATTGAGGAAAATATAACAGTGAGCGATAACTCGGATTTAGAGGATGGCGGAAATCCAGAACTTCGCGGATACCTGAGTAAATGGACAAATTACATTCACGGTTGGCAGGACAGGTTTATTGTTTTGAAGGATTCTACTTTATCGTACTACAAGAGTGAATTGGAGAGTAATCTTGGATGCCGTGGTGCCTTATGCCTGAAGAAAGCCAAAGTCAAGGTGATTATGCGTTCTTGTTTTATCGGCAAAGTCCAATAAAAAGATTAATTTGTCCTTGTTGCGTCTCGACTTTTTTTGTCGCTACGGCTAACGCTTTAGAACAAACAGACTTAGCATGTGATCTAATATTCAGATATTCGACCTTGGATATTTATTTTTCAGCCTCATGAATTTGATGACTGCAGATTTGATGTGTCTGTAAATGATTGTGTCTGGTACTTGAGAGCGACTAGTCCCGAAGAAAAACAGCAATGGATTGATGTTTTGGAATCATTCAAAGTGAGTATAATTAAATCAAATGTAATTTAAAACTTTTATACATGTTGGTGGTAGGTGGATGTTTGATATGATGTGTATGTGTATATCTATCTCACTCATACATTACTGATATATGTCAATAACACTACTTGTGTGAAGTGCCTGCAATTTATGTCCAACAATACAGTTTATCTAATATCTAACGTTTTTACTTCAAGTAGAAATAAGTGCTACTTTGACATTGTTAGTCTGACGGACTCAATCACCATTATCTTAGTAAACTTGATTACCTTGAATCACAATTAAAATGCAAAGAAAATCGGGTCACAAATTATTAATATAATTTAAATGTATATTTTGAGATGACATCAAATAGATAGATACTTCTATAAAAATTCAATATTCACAGTCCAATAACATTTTGATCAGTATAGTTAATATCTTTAATGTTTGTTTACATATGTCTTGTTATCAAATGTCAAAGTGCTAATAATATTACACATTCATGTTCAAACAATTACTATAATAATAGTCACTTTGTAATGTACTATATATGTTATATACAAATCAGTTGTTACTAGACGCTTTACCCACACAATTAAAGAAAAAAAAATAGATTTATATAAGCTACATTCCAGCCAAGTATGTATATCTAAACAGGAGAATCACAAAAGTGCCATGTAAGCAGTCTGTTATGGTGACAAAGTTAAACAAATTAACTCACTATTGTCATATACATATTTTTTAATACCACTGTCTGGCTTAAACAAAATGATATAATGCAAAAAAAATGGTATTCGTAATACATTTGACATTGATAAACTTTAGCAACGAAAGATTACCATATTATCTCGAGGAATTTATTGTTTTTGTGATAATGTCGAAGATTATTGTTGTGTGCTGGTTTAACTTAAGTAAAATTATGACTAGGTATGTTCTTTGGCCTTGACTCGACCTTATGTGACTATTTGAATTATATTTATGATTTTTAATAGCATTTTTATGGTAATTCGTTTATTATCAGGGGTTGTAGTCAGATGACAAAATATACAGGATATCCCTGAAGTCAGTATTTCCTCAATTTTCTATAAAATAAACAAAAAATACAGTTTGCAGTAAATACAAAAATTATATACAAAGCTGTCTAGCTAACATATTTCACTGTTTACTTAGAGATTACTAACAAATTCACCAATATTCTAATTACAATGTGATACCAAACATTCAAGGTTGATATTATGACTAATATACTAATTAATTTATTGTTACTTTACTGTTGTCGGAAAATGTTCTAGAAAAAGCCTTCCCGTCACAATGTAAATAAACCTGTTATCTCTAACATTTGTAACACTTTGCAGATGACTCATTCTTTGAGCATTGATCTTAACAATATATATATATATCACCTGATTTTAAATGCTCCCAACTATCAGTTAATCTGATAAGAACTGATAATATTCAATAAGTTATTTTATGACTGTACTAACTCCAATTGTTCTAAAAAGAATTGATTTTGTGATAACATTGCCAATACTGCATTGGTAGGTTCATTTCCGTTCTGTGGATAAGCATGGCATGACTTAATTGCACGAAATATGACATTCATTTTTTTACACCAGCATGGATGTGTGGAGTATAATGCCATCTTGTCTGTTTAGGTGGACAATAATGTTAATAATAAAGACAAAAACAACATCACAATACGAATAGCAAGAGTACCAACAGATCAAGTAAGTTGTGAGCACTGTACATAAAATATCAAAATTTATAACCGTCGATAAACATACAATAGAGTTCTTGCTATCTTCCCCCCGCCCTCCCAGTATGAAGCCCGTGCAATGATAAGATTACACAAGGATTCAGGCTTTATCAATATAAAACCATTGACCTTGGATGAAATCCTTTCAAAGTGACATAAATGCCAACAAGTTTGTATACAATTTTATAGCGATTTCCAAGTGTAAGAGTGAGATAGATGTACACTCATCTTTTGTTTCTTTTTTGTTTTGAAGTAATTAAGATATCCGGTTTTAATAGTATGATTAAATGTCTGGTTAGGTATTACGATTATGAAATAGTAATTGAGGTTTCAATATTTATTAATTAGTATTCCTATATGCAAAATAATGTTATGATGACTGCCTCGTCTCGTAAAGGGGTCTCGAGTTCGATTCTCGGGTCGAGCAAAATATTACAGGGTTTTTTCAAAAATTCTCAGTAGTAGCACGGAGTATGGAATTGTGCCCGGTAAATGGCAATAGGCTCACCCACTATTACATGGACTCATAACACAATTAGTGAAAAGTGGGTGTTACATTGTACAGTGGCATTAAGTGTCGTAATGTGCATATTTGCCTACCCCTTCGGGAAAAAAGGCGTGATATCATGGTATATGTTATGTTAAAATAATGTTACAGGCAATAATATGAGACATAAGTAACATAATTTAGTTTACAATTTATTCTTTATTAATGTGTATAACTATTATAGTTAATGATTTGGTTAGGAACTAAATGTTACAGTGATTAGTTTGAGATAATAATTGCATTAAACTTATGTTCTCAGGTGGAATCAGGTTATGGGACAAGCTCAGACAGCAGTTCTAATGGAGGAGGCTTGCGAAGACATGGCTCTGTTACTTCCTTGCAGTCAACTGGCTCTCATGGTATATTATTTTATACTAGTTACTTCCCCGCGCTTCCCGGCACCTGTTGATCGCAGCGTGATGTTTTAGCCTATATCTTTCCTTAATAAATGTACTATCCAACACTAAAAGAATTATTCAAATTGGTGCAGTAGTTTCGGAGATTAACAAAGTCTTTAGCTTTATATAATAGTATAAGATTCTTGCTCTGACTGCCTCGTTGGCGGAGTTGTCGCAAGTGCGACCCCTTGCCAGGTAAGGGGTCTGGGGTTCGATTCCCGGGGCGAGCAAAGTATGTGGCAAAGTACCGTAATGTGCACCTCTGCCTACCCCTTCGGGGATAAAAGGCGTGATGATGTTATTATGTTATAAGATTCCTATAAAATAAGCTTGTGTAAGACTAGATGCATGAATGTAATGAAAGCTTGATAAATGACAAACAGAGTTAATGATGATAACAAGATCAGGGTGCTTACTCTTGAAACCAATCTCAATGTCAATGCAATTTCAATCCAATAAAATCTCAATAATGATTCAATGTCAAAACTATACAACCCCTACCGTAGCTGTTGAAATAGCATTCAGAGTACGGAATATAAAGCCACACTCAATACCATTTAGTTCATTCAATATCTACGCAATACGGATGCAATGGGCGCTAGTGTTGCAACTCAAGAGTACGAAATTTCATAATGTCAATGTCAATCGATCGGAATTGGATTCAAGAGTAAGCCCCTGGTGGTTCTAATGAGTATATTTATGAAAGTATGGATCTACAATGAAAAATTTAATTGAACTTATAGGTGTAGGTAACTGCTTTTACTTAGTCTTAGGTAACCAGACTGGCGTGTTCTAGGTTCTGGGTTACATTTCTAGTCATACATTTTTATAATACTCAACTCTTTAGTCTGATTCAACCATAGAAGCGTAAGGTTACGGTATCTTAAGTATTTCTTTAAGTAATTCTTAAGTATTATCAGTCTAACAACTCTATTACTAGATTGTACAGATGGATGAGCACTATAATTTTCACTATCTGCGTCATTTAAAACACGATGTTGTGATTTACATACAATTATGAATACACTGTCGTGACGTGCTCTGTCATGTAATTAATTCTAGTTCATTAAGTAATTATTTATTATGAGAGAATATACTTGCAAATGTAGCTGGTGTTAGCATTCTTAGCTACAGTATAGTAGCAAGTATGGATTACGTAAAACATAATATTATTCATATATGTGTAAAGTTCATCTATACCTAATATCCTTGAAACATAACAGAATGGATGTTCTGGTCTCTAGTTTACAAGCAGTGACATAGAGGCACTCGGGGCCCAGACTTCAAAGTCAAAGTCAAAATCATTTATTTCAATTAGACCAGGAAGGCTTTTTTGAACGTCAAAACAAAATATTTAAATATTAAACTGTCAAACACCAAGCGGTCACCGGTGACCGCAACCTATTGTTCTTTAATTGTGTCTACAAAACCGGTACTCGACGAGTTAAATAATAAGAAAAAAATGTCAGTCTGTAGGTCAGTCCTCTAGTGAAGCTATTAGCTCGTTTCAAATTCTAGATTCCTATGGAGAAGAACGAGCAAGAAACTCCATAGGTTACTCTTTTTCAATCATGTTCACGATACAATTTTTGGTTACATTCTTTCTTTGAGTTCAATTATGTGAGAACAATGTAATACCAATATTTGGTCAAGGAGACGGAAAAAGAACATAACCTTGAGGACAACAAATTTAATGCAGTCTGGAGCTGACCAGTCCCATTTGACAGCGCCCGTTCACGAACATGACACGTACACCAGCATCACCCAACTCGACCATGTTGTAGGGAATTGACCGATCCACTGCCCGTGCCACTGCCAACGCGACTTTTGAGTGAGCATGATATTATTCCCGGGGCCCCCATCCTCAGCCCCGAAGGAACGACAATTTCTACGACAGACACACGTGCTGGCATTAAGTCCCGTAATGTACACATCTGCCTACCCCTTCAGGAATAAAAAGCGTGATGTTATGTATGTTATGTTTGGTAAGCATGGTGATTAATGCTCAAACCTTCTCTGTGTGAGAAGAGGCTTTTGGCTGACCAAGTGACCTGCTGACAGTGGCTACTTATTGGCTGTTGATGATGATGAGATATATCAGTGATGACCAAGGCAAAATAGCCCTATTTCCTATGATCTCGAAGTATATTTCCCTTTATTATGATAAATGCAGTGCAGTGTCATAATATGCAGTGTTATGATACTGCATTACGCATGAACGGCTGGACCGATTTCTCTAAATCACACATAATCTCTGGTTCTTTGTTATTGGCAGAAGGCTTATATTAACGAAAAACTTGAATTAGTTCACTGAGAAAGTTAATAAAGTATTTATTTTGATTTATTAGCTCTGTAGGCGAACCTTGTGTTTTGTAGAATTGTATTGGGTATAATGCAGTGAAGCGTAGAATAATAAAATGTTTAACGTTAATCTATTATGAACCTTAAGTACTTAATTAATAATTATAAATAGAAACTCTTTATTAATGCCTTGTAACCAGTTTCGGAGGTATGTGGCAAGGAAAAATAAAATAAAATCGGCCACCTCTTGAGGCTAATAGTTTTAGTTTTCACCTTTTTGTTGGTTTTTGTTTTTCTTTAGTTTTTTGTGGTTTGTTCTTTTTTTGTCTTAAGTCGGATAGTAGATAGGATGAGATAAAATACTGCGTTAAACCGACTTCAAAAACTGAAGCGAACCCACTTCAAAAACTAAAAACAAACGAAAAGTAAAACATAAAAAGCAAAAAATAACTATTATTAGTCATACGTACTTATAGCTTACACACCCACTGATAGGTAAGAAGTCGGTGCCACAAGTTTTACATAAAATTATTCATTAAAACCTTAATAGATACCTACCATTATTAAGCTGTTTACAATTTTATTATGGATTATACCTGTGACCATTACCTAAGATATATGTTATGGGTTTGTATGTTATCGAATTGAGAACCTCCTTCTTTTTTGAAGTCCGTTGAAAAGCAGATGAGCATCTTTAGTGCTAAGTGATAAAATGCGTTTATTTCTGTTCATTGGTCATTATCTACTTTGTGTTATATGATTTCATTATACAAATGTTCACGTTTATTCTTTGTGTTATTGTGAACACTCAAACTTACTATTCACTACATTTCCCTATGGATTTTGATACCAAGGAAAACTGAATTTTATCATTAAACATTAAGAGTCTATTCTGTATTGAAATATTTTCCTCTTGAAATTACCTCAAATAATTATTTCCTACATTTTAAAATACGGAAAACATGGTCAGATATAATTTTAATTTTAAATTGTAGGTAATAAATCCGTTTTAATACGCGTGACGTAAATCACTATTATCGGTTAGAGTATTTTACGAATACCGGTCAGAAATAGATCAGTCTAGCTTTGATTTATTTCGCCTGCAATTTTTTACTTTATAATACCCTCGTTTAAAGTGATTCCTTAGTGTTGCACCCCAGCTTACCCATAAAGGAATAAAAACAAAAAGCAAGTTGTCTTTGATGTTGAGTTATGATTGACAATAAGCGCAAACCATAAACATATTTTAAGTGTGGGAGAGCCATGCTTCGGCACGAATGGGCCAGCTTGACCGGAGTGATACCACGGCCTCACAGAAAACCGACGTGAAGCAACGCTTGCGTTGTGTTTCGTCGTGTGTGTGAGGTTGAGGTGAGGTACCGGAGGCCCAATTACCCCGATCCCCGAATCCCCAACAATTCTCAAATTCACAATTCCCAATAGGCCAATGACGCACTTGTAACGCCTCTGGTGTTCCGGGTATCCATGGGCGGCGCCGATTGCTTACCATCAGGTGATCCGTCTGCTCGTTTACCGGCTTATGCCATAAAAAAATATACATCTCTTTATGATACCTGACTTGTAGTTGATTAAACCGACTACAAAAATAGAAGTAATTTCATTTCTTCAAATCTGTGGAGGTTTATGAAGTATGTTTTTATAATAACTATCGTGAGACATACTAAATTAAATAAAAATCGCGGGTTACTCCCGTGAATATATCGAGAAAACCTCTACTAGTTTTGAACCACAGAGGGGTTCTTCCTCATGAGCAGTGTCGTTCCCTTTAAAATTCAATTCTACTAATTAGGTATATCTCCTTTTGAGAAAAAACCTCTTACCTTGGGAACTGTAGTATTAAACACAACTATCTCACTTTGTCTTCAGGCCGTACAACTCGTCGTCTCGCCGAGAAGATCGCAGAGTTGGACACATACAACGAACTGCTTTCGAAGCAAGCCATCCAGTTGCAACAATACTTCGATATGTGCGTCGCTGCTTACCCACAGATCAACGATGATGCCTCTGAAGCCATTGATGCTGTTAAACTGGCTGATGGTTTGTTATTTTTATATTTTTTTATGGATAAAGAGGATAAAAATACCTGGTAGTAAGCGATCAGCATCGTCGTGGACAACTCCAACAGTTTAGAGAGCGCTGCCGGACTTTTTAAAAGGCGTACGCTCTTTTCTGGAGGCTTATCATTTCTATTAATAACTTAATGAGGTTTGCTAATTTGAAAAGTGATCGTAACTGTCTCTATAAGCGAAATCTATCATTATGCCAGTACTCATCAAAATTGGACCAGCTGATTAAGAGTGGAAGTGTAACAAACAGTTTGTTGAGGATTTATGATAATTCTAATTGAAATTTTACGATTTTCGAATCATTAAGTTCATACAAAATTGGGTGACATTACGACCTGCAGATAATTTAGTACTCAGTAAAATTTCAATACAAACAAATTATTATAACATAACCAGATAGTTAATGTTACATATTCAGATTCGATTCCCGGGTCGGGCATTTTTAAAACAAATTCTCAATAGTAGCACGGAGTCTAGAAATGTGCTAGAAATAGGTTCACTCCCTATAACATGAGACTCATAACATAAAGTAGTGAAAAGTGGGTGTTACTTCTGTGTGCACCTCTGCCTACCCCTTCAGGGATAAAAGGCGTGATGTTATGTTATGTAACTAGATAGTGGAACAATATAATATTAAAGAAGTTAGTTTGAACCTAAAACCGTAATATTTTAAGAAATAATTTAAATATTCGCTTTACCATACATATTATCATACTTAAAAATATATCACATCCGAGCCAATAGCAGAAACGCACAAACAAACATGTGTTATATCACATTCCTCTTAATTATTTAATATCATTTACCACAGATGTATGGAGCTCTAAATTAATGTATAGTTGGACGCCATATTGTGACATTATTTTGTACTGAAATCTATATACAAGGTCATTCCAGATTGTATGAATAGCCTATAAATTGAATTGTATGTCTGATAGTTTAATTGGTTCATGTGCTGACGATTTTTATTGTCTTTTAGTAGCTATGTGTCATGTCTTAAAAATAATACGACAATGTAAAGCTACTGGTACACACGGCCACACATCAATCTATACAAAACCAGTTTATCCTGGTGTCGCGTCGCATCATCTTTCCGCACATTTAACGTTCAGTTTATACTCGTTATGTAAGGCTCGATGTGTAGCCGTGTGTACATATGATCTAAAATAGCATGCTGAAAGGCATTCTATTGAACATGCTCGAAAATGTTCTACAATCGAACGCTTGTCGATTCGTAAGCTTGCTTGAAATGAGCATGCTAATTTTTGAGCTACATTCTGACACGCATGCTACTATTTGACAAGGAAATGAAGCATGTTTGCGTGCTTAAAATTAGCATATTCAACGGTACCTTAACTCAACAAAAGCGTGTGGCATAATCTCCACGCTTCGCAGGTTTTTTTTTCTTTTAAACTGTCAAACACCAAGCGGTCACCGGTGACCGCAACCTATTGTTCTTTAATTGTGTCTATATTGACGGTGCTCGACGAGTTAAGGGGGGAAAGGTAACGAATGACTTCTCTCGCCTAGGTGAGGCGGAGTCAGACTCTTACTGCCTAAAACCACTCCGTTCCTACTCCTGCCCTTCAAACCGGAGCCCCGGCAACCCGTTAAGTTCTCCGCGGCTCTGTATCAGCTCTATTGGGCCCCATCCGTGGTGGCCTGATGGCTCTTGAGGCGCGCGGGTCTGATGGAGATCGCAGTTAAAAAGGGTTCATGTTTATCAGACGGCACTGTTGTCCTTGTCCGGTCTCTGTCAGTGGTCCCAGTGAGTCCAATGTCTATAAATATCTTATGTAGATAGTATGTTGTAAACATTCCGTACATACATTCACAGGAGTATGCGCATACCTTTGTCATGACTAGTATTTTAAGGAAATAACAATAAAGTAACTATTTAATTGCTCAGTCTCCAAGCCTAATCCATTATAGACCTTATTTCCGATGTGTAAAGACTACTTTTGAATGAACAAATGTTGTGGATTTTTCATAATCGGGGATTCAGAAGTGAATAAAACTTGTGGTTTGGTGAATAACTCAATTAACTACTTAGTGTTATAGTACTCTATTGATCTAGTTGTACATTCAATAACTACGTTATGCTACCGGGAAGTCCTCTTGTATAAAAGTTAGGGGAATCCCAGTTTGAAAAAACTAAGTGATTTTTTAGTATTATGTTATCCACTAATGAATATAGTTAAGTAAATAAAAGATGTGTAATAGTTTTAGGCGACACTTTAAATTGATATAGGGACCAGGAAAGCGACAAAAGAAGACCTTCAAACCTTCAAGAAAAGAGCGTATTCCTTTTTAAGACTTTGACTGCCAATAAAAAACTGTTGAAGGTAAATCCTCCGGTAACGCCGGTCGCCGGTGACCCCCATGGCGGTTAACGTGTTAAAAGGCCGGCAAAGCACCTGTGACTCTTCTGGTGTTGCAGGTGTCCATGGGCGGCGCTGATCGCTTACCATCAGGTGATTCGTCTGCTCGTTTGCCTCCTATACCATAAAAAAAATAGATTATAATTATTATTATATTTGAGGCAGATAGCAGGATATTTTTTGAGTGTAAATCAATACATAGTATAAAACAAAGTCGCTTTCGCTGTATGTCCGTATGTATGCTTAGATCTTTAAAACTAAGAAACGGATTTTGATGCGGTTTTTTTTAATAGATAGAGTGATTCTTAAGGAATGTTTGTATGTATAATACATACATATTGCACCCGTGCGAAGCCGGGGCGGGTCGCTAGTAACAATAAAAAAAAAACTACTTAGTAAGTAGTTTTTTTGCTTCAAATTAAATTGAACAATAATAATAAATTGATTGTTACATGTATTGTCAACAAAATATAGTTTCCTATTACCTCTTTTAAAATACATTTTTTAATTTTAAACTTCACCATTTTAAAAAGAAATCTCATTCATCAGGTAACGACCTAAACTTGCACGTGGGCGAGGTGCGGGCAACGAGTGCTTCATTCCGCGCAACATGTGGCGCCACTATCGCTACACTGCAGCACTGCGCTGAACTGCTCCGGCGCAGGGAGAAACAAGCCAGACAGGCTGAGGAACTGTATATGTAAGTTATTGTTTTATTGACGAAGTAATTTACTTCACTTGACTACCTCATTGACCGAGTGGTCACAAGTGCGACTGCCAAGGGGTCTCGGGTTCGATTCCCGGGTCGGGCAAAGTATTACTTGGTTTAAAAAAATCTCAGTAGTAGCACGGAGTCTGGAATTGTGCCCGGTATATGGCAATAGGGTCACCCACTATTACATGGACTCATAACATAAATAGTGAAAAGTGGGTGTTACATTGTACAGTGGCATTAAGTGCCGTAATGTGCGCCTCATGTTATTGTATGTTAATTTACTTCAGTGTAATATTGTTTGATGATTCTATTTCTTATATTGGCGCTGGATGTTCAGCAGTAGACATCTTGAATCTATTATGATAATGTTTAAAGATTTACGGCCTCATAGAAAACTGATGTGAAACAATGCTTGTATTGTGTCTCGTCGGGTCAGTAAGGTTATCTAATCTTCCCAATCCCTGAATCTCCAATAATCCACAAATTTGTACTCCCCTAAAGGTCGGTAATGCGCTTGTAACGCCTCTGGTCTATGGGCGACGTTGATTGCTTGCCGTGATCGCTCTGCTCGGGTGCCGGCTTGTCTCAAAAAAAAACCTAATTATAAAGCCTTAAGAATATTGTCCCAAGTTCAAATGCTATTTCGAACTCTAGAGACTCGTTAGTACTAACTATATGTACTAGATGGCAGCACTGACAACATTTTATTAGTTTTTAATTATTAAAAATTAAATTAGGTTATTCTTCCTCCAGGGCCTTGAAGAATCAGCTGACAGAAGCAAGGTTGGCATCGAAACCAGGGCCAGATCACGAGGTGAGTCATAGATATTAGTTCGCTTGGTCTGTGGCGTGTAACTATCCAGTAATTACTCATCGACAACTTTATCAAATACGTAGCTCTCGGATTACTTGGTTAACTGATTCATCGCCAGAAAATATAGAATTATTTTACACGTCAATGTTAATGGAAAATGCAAATGTACTCAAATTATGACATATTAACCCATATATCCCCAAGCGGTCACCGGTAACCGCTCTCCACTAACTACATTATAGACCTTATTTCCAATGTTTAGAGACTACTTTTGTATGAACAGATTTAGGGGATGATTTTCAACAGGCGCCCGAGTACTGAAAGGCTACTCAATTTTAAATTGTACTTAAACGTCGTGCTATCTCTGTCATTTTACAAAGAATTTGTAGGGACAGAACTATACAATATATTAAGCGCGACTTAAAATTTAGTAGCGTTTGAGTATTTCGACATAAAACTATGGACTATTTATTTGCGACTTCTTTAATCTTCCGACATTTATTTCTACTTTCATCCTTTGAGTATATTGCTGTAGTGTAGAATTAACCTCTGGTATGTCGAAGCGTAGATCTACGCGAGACAATCATAATAGGGATGATGACAGTGTATGAAAATTAAAAATGTAATTAGTCCGTCAGTTAGGTAATGAAAAAATATATAAGACACGTATTTTTTTATTTTGTTGTATAAAAAATGATACTTAGATATAACGAATCGAAGTTTAGGATTAGGGGCTAAAACGTCATTTCTACGTATAAAATGTACATAGAAGTGACGTCACGCGACATTTCGAATCAATATATCGTCGAAAGTATTCGTTTCCGTAAAGAATACGTGTCTAATGTTTTTAAATAATCTACCAGGCGGACATTAAAATAAAAATTAGTCATCTACCCTATTCGGAGTCGCGGAGAACCTAAAGGGTAACCGGGGCTCCGGCTCGACGTCCAGGAGAAGGAACGGGATGGTTTTTAGTCAGTAAGAGTCTGACACTCCCTTCCGCCTCACCCAGGCGGGAGCAGTCATTCGATGATTTTCGCCCCTTAAAAAAAAGTCATCTACCCTATCATCAGCATCATCATCAGCCCGTGTTCATCCCGTGCTCGACATAGGCCTCTCCAATGACACGCCACTGAGCTCGGTCTTCAGCTCTCATCCACTGCCAAGTGCCAGCCACCTTGCGGATGTCGTCAATCCACCTAGCTGTAGAGTGCCCTACACTACGTTTCTCTAGACGCGGTCTCCACCTTGGAACACGTTTACCCCAACGGTTATCGGTTCTTCGACAAATGTGACCGGTCCATTGCCACTTCAGCTTACTAATCCTTTGGGCTATGTCGATAACTTTGGTTCTCTGTCGAAGGAAGCAATGTATTCTCTATTATGTATTAAATACCGACATACAAGAGGTTAATGCTTGCGTTGTGTTTTGACTTGTTAGTGAGGATACCAATGCTCCCCTAAGACCGGCAATGCACTTGTAATTGTGTTGCAAGTGAAGTACCTTATACGTACATAAGAGATCTATCTTGTCGTTTGCTTCCTATTCCATAAAAATCTACCTTCTTTAAGTTTAACTACAAATGCTATAAGCTGCTGTATCTTATACTCTTTGTTATAAGTGCTAGAATGGCTTGTCACCTAAAGAACTTATTATCTTTCTAAATGTTCTAAGAGCACATCCTATGCTATTGCATTAAATAGTTTGTACTATATGTATAGGGAATTCGTTAAATTAGAACATTTATGTTGGTATGTCTGTTGCAGGCAGCCTAACTGCAAAACGGCCATCGCGCTTCTTTTGTAAGACCTCTTAGTCAAAATATTATAATAAAATATAGTCACTAAGTTGTATATTCTTTGTTAGTTCTCTTCTACGATAATTCGACTATTTAGTTTATGTTAGAATGATTAGAATAATGTTTCTTTTTAGTTTTGTACGAATTACTATGTAAAATCTGTAGTCGTATATATTGTGTATCGTTCTCAATAAATGTAACGTCTGAATTCATATTTTATTTCTTTATTCTGATCTACATTACAGAAGGAAATAGAATTTGTTAGCACTAGCAACGGAATAGTCTGTTTACAAATTAAACTGGTGTATGACGGTGACTAACCAGACACTGTTTAATTAAATTAATTTCATTGTCAACTTACTATTTCTGTCTACAATAAACGCCTCGAAATTTCGGAAACATTAATGTTAGTGACGATTTATAACTATTAATAATTAACGACCCGCCCCGGCTTCGCACGAACCGTCACCTTCTTAACCTTCCTTAAGAATCACTCTATCTATTAAAGAAAACCGCATCAAAATCAGTGGGACAGACAGACGGCGGATAGCGACTTTGTTTTATACTATGTAGTGATATTACTGTAGGGCGCTTTCTTATTAATTAGATTATAATTATCCGCAAAGTAGCTGGTAATGTTAAGATGCGAAGAGCTAAAAATTGAGCTCAGACTTCAGAGACACAGTATTAATTGTAGAGGCCTATGTCCAGCAATGGTGGCTCGGAGGTTTAAGACTCCCGTTCCTCATGCATACGGGTCCGATACCTACCAACGGCAAGTACCAATGTGACTTTTTCCGAGTTATATGTACATTCTAAGATTATTTAGGCACCACTAACAAACGGTGAAGGAAAACATCGTTAGGTAACCTGGGCTTGTAATTTCTAATTATAAGATTGAAATCGCCAACCCGCATTGAGGAAGCGAGGTGATTAATGCGCAAACCTTCTCCGTGTGAGAAGAGGCTTTGCTCAGCACTGGGCATTTTTTTTACAGATTAGGCCCAAACTCCAGCAGTCGACTGTTGGAATGTTGATGTGTTTTTTCAATTATTATATAGTATATACTATCTGAAACGGCAACTTCGTCTGCATTTTCCTAAAATTAAAGTAACCTATGTAACTCCTTAGTACATTATCTACCTGCCAATAAAATTCCCGTCAAAATCAGTTCAGTCATTTTAGAGATTAGCCAATACAAATAGACAATCAAAAATTGTAAAACTTGTTATTTATAAGCTTTTGATGATGTCCAGCAGTGGATAGAAACAGGCAGATTGTGAATATTATAATAAGTTTTCCGGCGTCCAAATATAATTTTTGTTACTTCCAAAGTACAGTTACTTTAACAGGAAATCGTAGTAATAAAATTGCACGTGTTACTTACGACCATAAGTTTTGCTATGAGTATGCTGTAGGAATAATGATGGCACCATTGTTTTGTGACTTCTACAATGTAATATCTATTTTTATTGTCATTTATATCATAATACTCAAAAGATACTAGGCCTGTCTGCAAAAAGGTCTACAAAAAGAAAATTGTTTCTATTACAAAAAATAGCGCTAATGTCGCCAACATGGTTTCAAGGTTCGTTTAAAATGATTGTTTTTTGATTATGGTGTTATCCTAAATCGTAGACTTAATAAAATATGGCAATTACCTTTTGCTGATGTTCATACTCCATTCGCTGCCCGCGTATGTTTTTGACATAAAAAATTTTAACACTCGTGTGTTGATTAAAAATTACTTCTATCTTGTAGGACCTCCTATTATTTCATGCTAATTTTTAATTTTAACATTTTTGAAGTCAATAAATATTTCAGGAAGGTTTTCTAAACCTTGTTCTCTTACATCTATCTCTACTGAAAAATTGATTAAAATCAGTTCAGCAGTTTAGGCTAAATAAACAAATTGACTTTTGTTTTCGTTTACAAGTGCGAAGTATCTATACCTACATATAATAAAATCGTAGAAAAGTCAAGACTGTTCATTGAATATATTTTAAAAAGAATATTTGGTGCGTGATCTACAGTTGATACCGAAGCCAAAAATAAGGATTTTAGAATTTTTGTCTGTTTGTCTGTATGTATGTCTGGGATGATCTCAAAAAGTACTGCATGGATTTACTTCAAATTTTGCATGAATATTACTAACAAGTCAGGTCAATATATAGGCTACATATTATCACGCTATCATCTACGGGGGAGGAGCCCTATACTAGGTACTGAATCAATTCTGACCGACCGAAATTCGTTACCGTAGAATAGTCCCTTGATAAAGACTATTTCAAAAGCCTAAATTCTGCCAGAAGACATTATTCTACGCTGACGAATTCGCGGGCAACAGCTAGTCAAATTATAAGTGCTGCAGCCACAATTATTCTGTAAGCATTTTTGAACATTATATCGCATGTTGCTGTCATGTCATGTTCTATGAAAGTGTAACAAATTACATAATGTTACTAACCATTCATTAATTATACACCGCATAACATAGTATGTCTCATGTCTCCTATACGTACAAGTATTAATTAAACATCAATTTGTTAAGATACCGTGCTAATTACTGTTAAGCTCTCGTTCGTGTTGATAATGCATGTTTGTTATAAATTATAAGCTGATGAACTTGTTTCTTTTTCTTTATGATGATGTGATTGGCTTTGTCATGTGGTGTCTGCACCTCTACCGGGCATATAGAGCTGATTAAAGTACTCTACTCTGACGGAGACTGGGCAGCAGTGCTCTATGATAAACCTGAATCTTTTAACCTGCAGTCTCCAGCCTGCCAAGTTTACAGCTTAGGCCCAAACTCCACCAGTTGATTGTCATGCGATGTGGATGTGTTTTTTTAATATAATAAAATTAGCCTATATTACTCCTTAGTACATTATCTAACTGCCAATAAAAGTTCCGACAAAATCGGTTCAGCCATTTTGGAGATTAGCCAATACAAACAGACAGACAGACTGACAAAGATTGTAAATGTGTTATTTTGGTATACGTATTCTATGTATATTCATATGCATGTAGTAAAAAGCGGTTATTTTAATATTACAAACAGACACTCTAATATTATTTATCTATATAAATGAAAGTGTCTTTGTCTCTTTAATCAAATGTTGGTTTTAGATATTTTCTTAGTTAGGCAAAATTGATGGATGCACCATTGCATAAGTAAGAAGAAAATATGTCAGTGGAATA